CTCTCAATGGCATAACAATATCATTAGAAAGTTTTTTACCTTTTTCTCAAAACTGCTAAGCGTGAGGATAAACTCATTTATTCGATCGCATTTCAATTTTCGCATAGTGGTTTCGTCGCAGGGTCGTTCGCGTATCGGTTGCGTCTTACAGCGTCAACCACGTTTGTGGTCGCACTGAACTACAGCTTGAGAAGGTCTGTATGGGCCTTTATTTATATTTGTGGCGTTTCGAAGGATTTATTGCAAATAAGAAGCTCTTGGCAAGTTTTTACATCCATTTTTCTTTAACCTATCTAATACAAAAAAAGGAAGAGAAAAGAAGGGCCACTACTTTTCGGGATTCCGGCAGGTTCCAAACAACATCCCCCTGTGGCGGCAAGTGGTTCAGTGGACATTTTTTTTGTGTTGCTACCGGGTTTCGGTGAAAATTCAAGTGGGGGTGGTAACCCCAAATTATAGAGCCTATTCAGTTTTAGCTATCTCGGATCTTCCATCATGATTATAGGAAGTTCCGAGACATTGCCCGACTCTCGCCACGAGGAGGCTCCGGATAGGCACATGGTCTTCCTCATTACAGAGGAGACCTTAAGAGAGTCAATGGATTAACGAGATTCCCTCTGTTCCTGTCTGCTATCCGGCGAAACCACGGCCAAGGGAACGGGCTTGGCGGAATCAGTGGGGAAAGAGGAAGGACCCTGTTGAGCTTGACTCTAGTCCGAGGTGTTGTTGGTGTAGTTGTTTCCAATGGTTTGACGATCTGCATTTTCAACTGTTTGAATTCCTTTCACCCGCGACTTGATAGCATCCAGAGTGCGATGAGGAAAGATTTTTTGCAGAAGGGCGTACCGGGTCTTATTGATTACTTCTTGCTCCAAGCGTATATCTTCTTTGGCCAGCAAAAAAGCCTCCTCGTGATTCCACCTCGCTCGAGATCGTACTGGTACATGATCTTTATGAAATGATGTTGGATGTTGTCTCCTCCTGTGTAGTCCTAAACCGGAGTTCAACCTGTTCGTTTTTTAATTTTAACATTCGACGTATTTCTGATCTTTTGTAGAAAGCTCCCGCCGAAAAACACCCCCTCTACGTTTGGAGTACTGCAGATTGCTTTCAAATAGCACGAAAAACGAGAATGTGGCGTTTACTATTCCTCGGTTGACAGTTATCTCTTTGAATTTTATGGCACACAAAATTGCATGAGTTGAATCTCTTTGACAAAATATCAGCTGACATCGGTAAATTTAGTGTTGCATTCCATCTATGAATAACAATCCTAACTGGGTGGGGGCTTTCTGTAACTCAAGATGTGTGATTTGGTATTTAACGTGCGACCCGGGGCAAAACTGTGAAAGACAGTTTTTGGCCCAGGAGACATTAGGGTTGGACATGTCTGCTCTAGTGTTTTGTACGTAACCATTTCGTGTCGTAATGCAATATTTGTCAATGGCAAGTTTATGCACAAGCAAAGCTTGTGTCAAATTTGTTCGAAAGAATTATTGTAAAAAACGGCCAATTGGCGATTTATATATTCCACACCGGGACCTGGGTCATAGGCCATTTTTTACATTAAGCAACGCCGAGCTCGGTTAGCACTTGCTTGAGTAACCTGCTTGATATTTGCTCGACTTATCATGCATTTGTCCTGCTTTGACGAACTTGTCATGCTTTTCTAATAATTTCGCTTCTTTTCCCTCTACAGTCTACAGCATAGTTCCTAAAACCGACCGGCTCGATATAAATACCATAATAATAATTTGTGCCCTTCGAATATTTCAATCTATTTCATTATTTCTGGTCAGCATTCACGAGAATTGTTAAAGAAGTCTGCATTAGGTTAGAATGCGGTGCCTTTCTGATTAAATTACGAATGTATACTGATAGGAGCCCCGTGATATTCTGTTTGTATTAAACTTGTCCTGCTGGTATCATAATTGTCTCATTTGTTCCGATTATCTAACACTTGTCAGTCTTAGCTCACGCTTGTTTTGATTGTCCCACTGTTTCTCCTTTGATTATACGATTCCATTTAAATATTTTTTACACCTGTTCTGCTGGTTTGTCCCATACTTGTCCTGCTTTTCCCACACTTATCCAGATACTCTCATACTTGTAATGCGTGTCACCAACTTCCCCGCTTGTCCCCCACTCATTCTACTTTATCACGCATGCCAGGCTTGTATCACGGTTGAATCATACTTGCATGCTCGTGTCACAATTTCTATGCTTGTCCCTCTGCAACATTGTTTTTAAAATTCAACTAAAGATTACAAAGATAGTTTAATTTGGTTTTAATTCTACTTATACGATATTTTTAGAAATTTTATATGAATGAACTTTGTTTACAAAGTTACGCATCATCGTTTTCTACTTTTAAAAGCTGGATATACCACAGGATATTTGAAAACGCTTCAATACCACATTACGTTGATGGAAGTTAAATGACTATTTTAGGCCTTGTATTGTGTACTTACTAGAGTTTTACTTGTATATTTTAGAATTAGATATCTAATGTATGTTGTTCTATTAGAACGCAGCAGTCCTAAACTTATGTTGTATTTTTGAAAGGTACATGTCGCACAACTGTGTCTTAGTCCAACAACAACCAGAAAAAGAGGTCGAACAGTTTTCAATAAATAGCTGGTTTCATTTTAAACAGACAACTGCTGACAAAGTGCAAACAAAGTCGTCCCTTGTTTGCACAGAATCAAATACAGGGTCTATAGGGATTGACACATGGTATACGGCGTACGTCCGTATTATGGCACTCGCAACTGTTGCACCAATGGGCATTATTTGGTCGGCCGGAATGTGTAAATCCTACCTGCAATCTGGCAATACTGACCCACCGTCCAGCCAGCTTAGAACATATTGCAACATGCGATATTATGATGCCAAATATATATATTGTTCACAATCAAATTCATCGAAAATACACTTTTAACCTCAATACAATTCTACGAATTAAATGCCAAATGACTACATCAAAGTAACAAAACCAACTTCTGTCCCATGGGGCGAGCGAAATCACAAGATCAAGCTTTTCACGCGTGAAATAAAATGCTCTTCAAATTAACGTGTACTAAAATATTGATTATGACCATATTGTATCATATATGTTATACTCCTATCTTCTGTAACATCCTTCACAAAATATTAGACACCCTAAGCGTGTAATATACTGATCGCATCTATCACTTATAATTGGTATGTACTAAAATGAACTGAAAATCACTGACGGGTTGAACTATTTGACAACTATCAAAACCAATTTGGGAAAAAATGCTTTAGCATAAAGTAAACAACAGAACATATATATAGTAATTCAGATTTAATTGAGAAATTTAGAAACACATTTTACAATACCATATCTCGTTACTGGTTTAAAAAACAGTATTACCCGGTGCGTCTCCCAGCCCTCGATTGGGATTATTTTGGAAATATACAATTGTTGTACAATTTAGTAACGAAAATTCCACAAATTGTCATAAGTTAGTAAACAGAAAGTAAATAAGCTAAATAGCTTCCCAAGGTTGAAAATTTGCAATGAACTATTTAAAAAATTGAAGATTTCGTAACCGTATTGAATGTGGGGGAGATCTGGATGAGAAGTATAGTTTCATGACAATTAAAAAGTTTAGCATTTCATACGATGCTTGGTGTACATTACGCAGCTCGAACTAAAAATACGCCATACACAATCACAATTCCTCGCGAGTTGTCTTCCGACTTGATACGTTTATATCAATGGAAGCGCTGTTGAGGAAAATACCTTGCATTATATATCTTTCTACTAATTTGAAGATAAACCAATATTGTTCATTTCAACTATTAGTAGTACCATAACCATAATTATAACAAAAGTTACGGTAGCATGGTTTTCATAAATAATAAAGATTATACTTGTAAAGATTAAGGTTTTCTTAGGCTAATGTTATAATAAAACTCTTTTCAGGGTATAATAGTAGTGAAGAATATCTAAATCGGAGTTTTCCAGTCAGGGAAAAATTTAATTGTTTTGCTGGAAGAATTTTTCCTTGGTATTTGCGTGTAGTATTACTCATATTCTTAAATTTGTTAGCATGATTGCATTACATATATTTATACACACATTACAAACGGTTCTATTACGTTTCCCTCAATTATAATGCCTCAAATTATTCACAAATGAAAGTAGATAAGCTATCGTGGCTTCAGTGAAATTAGCGATATATGCAAGTTAGAAATAAATTCTGTCGAGTTTATTTTTCTAACAAACTACTCGACCACTGCGTTTGAATTAGAAACAGAGCTAGTTAATTGCTAATATTTGACTCATGTTATTTTCTTACAATGAATATTTCTTTGAGCCGATCGGTAATAAAATACCACCAAGCATAGCTTTGGGTAGAATGAGTAATACATTTACCTATCTATTTACATTTTACAAGATAACAATGTATACCAACACTAAAATTTACGACAACTGACAACATCGTCAGTATCAAACTACATTTTGATTAAGATCTGCACTTGTTAGCAAACAGTAGTTTCAAGCACAGCGTAGTTGCGGTCGTTTATAGTTGCTAACATTCTCTGCCATGGTATATATTACGTTACGTATTATTCTAATGATAAGATTGAACCTTTCGGATCAAGTAACTTTGATAACTTTATCCCTTTTTAAAAAAAAAATTAGCAGCTCAAGAACGGTTTGTTTCAGAATCAAGTCTTGTAAGAAACAATATGAAAAATATAAAGAAAGTATGAAAACCAAATAATAATAAAATAGGAATGAAATATAGGGAAATGGCTTTATAATTATTTGTCCAACAACTCAGTTTTGTTTTTCAGACAATACAAAGTTTGGTCGAACTGGCAGTCCTCCCCTTTTTTAAAACAATGTTATGGTTTCTAAGAGAACCAGAGCTTGATTCAATCTTCTTTTCTTAACGTTTTCTTTTATTTCAAATATACTTTACCGTGAACTAAATAGAGATTTATTCAGATGCCCAAAAATTAACATGGAGAAAAGTGCCATAATTGGTTTTATTGCCGTCGGCGTACTCGTGCTTGTGGGAGTTACCGTCACGCTAGTTTTGACTTTAAAAGATGTAACTTCAGCACCCCAGTTGGACAGGGTGGTTGTTAAAGGTAAGACTGCCATTTATTGATAATCATAAACATGTCTTGTTGGAATGAAAATTGCTTTGAATTGTTGTAAAGAAGCGTTGTATGTATCGAATATCACAATTTCAGAGTATGTTAGTATTGATCAATAAAAAATTTACGCAATGTTTTCAAAATGTTTTATTACGACAATTAAAATTAATGTAGACAATCAGCAATTCAATTAGAAAGTTTACAAAAATATAACCGACAACAACTAACAAGTCTTATAGTAATGTAAATAACAACTGCTAATCCTATCCCATGCAATGACACGTATATTCGTAAAACTGTAAATTGTCTGAATATCATATATACATTAGCATAAGATTTAAGCCGTTCATAATTTTCCCTGTTTCAGCTACTCAAGGAAGGTTAACAGGAAAGGTAACACCAGAAGCAGGCATATTTTTTGGCATCCCATTCAGCCAACCACCCGTGGGAGAATTTAGATGGAAAAAACCAAGACAACCGGTAGAATTTCCTGGTCGACATTGGGATGCGACTTACAAAAGACCAGCATGTATTCAGATATGCCACCAACCTGCTGAAGAATACAGTTGCCCGCCACCGGTAGTCATGTTTAAACTTAGGATCATAGAAATTGGCAATTTGCAGTATTTCGAGAAATTTATCGTGAAGTCAATGATTATTATTTTTCATTATGAGAAATATAAACTAGGTATGACGATATTTGAATGTTCCACAACAGCATAATAACTAAATTGACGTATTTGTCATGTTGAGCATTTTTATCAAAATGAAAATACGAATATCTTTTTAAGACACACATCTACTATAAAACAGAAATCGTATTTATAGACCGAACTCGACGAAGACTGTCTATATTTGAACATCTGGGTACCATCAAGAATTCTACGACTCGTTGATAGCGATGACGTAATTGGTGGCCAACACTACGTAGTTTCCGAAGAATATCAGAATGGTGATGATAACTCTTTGGCAGTTTTGTTATTCCTTCATGGAGGAAACTTTCTCAACGGTGCTGGATCCGCAACACTATACGATAACCGATATTTGGCAGATAAAGGGAACATTATTGGTATGACAATGAATTACAGGTTGGTTTACACACTTATATTACACGCCGTGCGGACGTAAAAATACAGGGTGGAGAATAGACTTGAAATAATTTAAGTCGATCTGTCGAGGGAAAAACCAATTATAATTCGAAACATTATGTTCTTTATTATGTAAAGTAAAATATTCGACATGTAGAACACCTGCAAATAAACGAGATAATATTATTTTACATGCTAGAATGGGTCCTCTTGGATTTCTTGTGCAAGGCGAAGGACAAGACGCCGCAGTCGGGAATTATGGCATATGGGATCAAATAAGAGCACTTGAATGGATTAAAGAGAACATTAAATATTTTGGAGGTAATCCAAACAAGGTGTGCTATATTTTTTGTAAATATTTATTAAAAAGAAGCACTTCCAATAAAAATTTGATAACCGTGAAACTGATTAATGTAACACTTTACAGTTTACCCTATTCAAATATTATCCATTTGGCACATCTTGTTTTACAGTTTGGTAGGTATATTATACGAAAATACTTTTCTAGTTCCCTCTAATTTAATCACAATTCAACTTAACGACATAATTCAAATTTTTAAGGTCACAGTGTCCGGACAGAGTGCTGGTTGCGAGTCTATTGGAGTGCTAATGACGTCACCATACGTGGAAGACGGACTTTTTCATCAAACAATTATGGAAAGTAATCCATTCGGACTCCCATTTAGAACTTGGGAAAATGCGATGGAATTTGGTAGCAGATTTGCTGAAGCTGCTGGCTGTATTCGCGGGGATATGGAATGTCTAAGGAAGGCGTGAGTATTCGCAGTGTTTATAAAAACAAATATTTGTTGGATAAAGCTAATCAATTTAATAATAATACCATGTTTTTAACTTCGTATAATATTTTTATCCAACAATGGAGTCAGATTCTTATTTTGTTAAGTGACACCGAAACAATACTGAAAGGTTTCACGGACTCTTCGTTAGAAGTTGTGGGATTCGACAAAATTTTGCTGATATTTCAACCATGGAGTCCTGTTATTGATGGAGATTTTCTGCCGGATCAACCCATAAACTCATTTGTTCAGGTAAAGTCATCATTCAGTAAATCAATGATTACGGGTTTGCCATCTATTTAAGTAGAATACAATGCATTTTTTACTGTAGTCACCAACAGGCACCACCTGTAGTTACAACAGGCACCAAAACTGCCTCCGACGCATACAAAACGTATTTACTTTGACAACATGATAATGTTAATTGTAATGATAATTGTAATTACCTTCGAAGGTATAATTCGAATACAGAATTATACCTTCGAAGGGAATTGGAAAAAGACGACATCATACATAAAACATAAATTTATTTACTATAGTTGGCAATACCGCAACTTTACATGATTAACATTTTTCAGGGAAAAGCAAAACAGTTGCCATCCATAATAGGCGGAACAAATGAAGAATGTGTTCTTTACATTGCTCTGGCATTTCCAAGGCCAGTATCAAATCTTGCTTACAGAGCTGTGTTGAAAACTGTTCTGAAAGAAGATTATCGTCCCGTTATTCAATTCTTTCCGCCTACAGTAAGTTTTATCAAAATCAGTATTCACTAAAGTACAATTTTAACAAGAAAAAGTAAATGATCCACAAAAGGATTTCTTGAAGAATGTGTTCTTTACATTGCTCTGGCATTTCCAAGGCCAGTATCAAATCTTGCTTACAGAGCTATGTTGAAAACTGTTCTGAAAGAAGATTATCGTCCCGTTATTCAATTCTTTCCGCCTACAGTAAGTTTTATCAAAATCAGTATTCACTAAAATAAAATTTTAACAAGAAAAAGTAAATGATCCACAAAAGGATTTCTTCAAATTTTACGATATGCATAACTCATTTTTCATTAATTCAACCATTCCATTAACATATAGTTTGTGAAATTCAAATCGTCAATCGCCATAAAAAACGTATAGGCGAAGAAGATTAAAAACTTCGCATCATCCTTAATCATAATACAACAAATCTATAACAACATTTTTTATAATATATATCATAAGAACTTCGCATTGAATGCCAATCAGGACATGATGACAGACCGTGTGCTGGAATGTCACAAGAGAAACGAAAAAGGACTATACGCATAAGCGTATAGGTTTTAAAGTGTCTGCACCGAGCGAAATATGAGAGGAACTAATAAACTATTAGGAACAAGGCACAAAACCCACTTTTTCAACAATATTACTTAAGACTGAGGAATATCTATTAATTTAATTCATTTCAGTGCAGACCAGTGGTGGATTTCACTTGTGACAACAGAGATCTCTTGAGTCAGATAGCAACAGAGTATTTATTTTTGTGCCCGATGAGGCATGTTTTAAATCATATGACAACGGACACTTACTTTTATATCTTTAATCAAACATGGTCGTTTTACGTGAGTATGATATATTTTATAATAGGGTATGGTTGTATATATAATAAATGATTATTTGTAACAAATATGGAAAAAATGAGTTCGATTCCTCATCACATACATAACTTAATGGCATAATACTACGTTTTCATATTGGCACATGTAGAAATTCATTTCAGAAAATTACTAACCAACGTACAGTAGACTTGAACTCGGAGCCCCATACAAATATATGTTTAAATCAGTGATTCCCAAACTTTTTTGTACCATCGCCCCCCTACAGTAATTAATACAACCCCATCGCCCTCCCGGCACTACAAAAAAATGTTAAGTCAGAAACGAATATATTACATATCAAATAAACAAGAAGACAAATCATAGTTTTTAGTGTTTCTTGTTTTGATAGCAATGTGGTCACGGCTGAAAACCCCTTTTCCGATATATAAGCGGTCGGAAATCCAGGATCAATCCAATTCTCCTCAAAATTCGCCGGTTACTTGCCTGGTGACATGCACCAAAATACATCATGACGATCTTCTGTGGAATTCATCTTCGATTTCTCATCACACACAACGGTCTCCAGTCCGGTTACCTGACAATAAAATTAATCAGCCATTACTTGTTTCAGATTCATGGATGTGATAGTGGGGAAGCCGTAACAAACCATCGGCTACGCCATGGGTCGGCAACCTTTTATCGCTCGCGGTTAGGGTTGCAAGTCTTGGCGGGCCGCACATATTTTTTGAAAGTTAAAAAACGAAACAGCGCGCGAAGACTGCGCCAATTCGTGAACTCAACTCAGTCGCCTTTTTAAAAGGAAAAATGACAAATGACATTTAATGTGACACTGTCCTGTTGCTGCATCACGCTTGCTTTTCGACATCGGCGGCACACTGAATGAAGCCAAAGTTGTAACATTTTTTAGATGAGCATCACTAAACCGAGTTCTCTGCTTGTTCTTTGTAATGTTCATCTTCAAAAATAATTGTTCGCACTTCGCACACATATATATGTACTTCCAAACATCGAAGTGAAATTTTTCGCATGGTTTGCCAAATTTTGATAGAGATTTTTGTTAAGAAGATACATTTTTATTAAAATCAAGCAGAGATTCATCTCTCGTTTAAAAATTAAGGATATTATTTCCTCATTACATTGCATCTCAAGGAGCCCCATTTGAATATTTTCTGCGCCATCGAACCTCTGCATGATCAACTATTTTGCGTGTTGCCTTTTGCAATCTACCTTGATCTGTTGCCTACGCAATCTACCTTAGGCCGAGGAGGAGTCCAGCAATCATCTCGCGTGTGGTTTTCGCCCACGCTGCCAATCCACCGCTGCCAATAAGTTCGTCTCTGTAGGCGCATTCTAATGAAATCGCCACAAGAATTTGTATTTTTATATTTCATTACCTTTGTAAATTTGATTATGTAATTGCATCCGGAGTAAATTTTTATCATTTATTTACGATTTATTCGAATTTGTCATACAATTAAGATCAAAGGCCTGCTACATTTTTAGTTGTAGGTGTTGGAAATTCCTCAAAAAATCTTGCCAAGTATCCATATGTATTATCGAAAAAGCGGAAATAAATATTCTCAAACTATAAATGTGACATAACTGCTCAAACATCAGTATCTAATTTACAATTTCCTCCAAAGGCGATTCGTCGCTCGCTTGAAATTAGAAAAAAAATCGGGCATTCTGATGCCAATGCTACATTGCAAATACATTTTACCACACTACTCTTTGATAGGGACAATAACTTTAGCAGCATGCAGAAGTTACTGTAGGATAGTTTGTCCGTCAAGACACAAGATATTTAGCAAGTTTATTTCTGAACTTTGGCAGCGGCGAAGTTTTCATTTGTTACCTAATAATATGCTTTATCAGGCTTGCCCAGACACAAATAATGTATGTGTATCACAGTGTAAATCGTATTTTGCGCATGTGCAGTACTGCATTCGTCCTGTTTTAAGACATACAACAGGCGCTGCATGAAGCTGGTTCGAGGCAAATTTTTGGGGTATGTTATTAAATTCACTTAATATCAGACGCGATCGACTTTTCGAGACGTGGATCGCGATCGACGTGTTGTCCAACCCTGCTATACATGATGCAGCGCTTCCCATCAAATCCATATTTTCCAATAGAAAAATTATTATATATATATATGCTTATTGTTGTCACTACAGTTACAATGATAAATGCTATGCAAAAACGCAGTAATGCGTATATGAATGGCATCATTTAGCTAGTTCTTCAACTGCACTTGTGAGTATAGTGACGGCAAAGAGCCATGGGATTGCTTCCTCTCTACCAGCAGTCAAACATTTCAAGTCGTTTTGTAAGCAGTCAAGGCTATAAACTGAAAATAAATGCTTAAATACAGGAACTTTGGGAGATTCCGATGTGTTTTGACGCAGTTTGTCACGGTGCCGAACTCCCATACGTTTTCAACATTGGAAATTTGACTGTCCACGACTACGATGCAGAAGAAAAAGTTCTGGCTGAACGAATGGGATTTTATTGGACGAATTTTGTCAAGTATGGGAATCCAAATGGTCCACCATCAAAAGTAAGTAAAATGAATAATTTGGAATAAATAATCAACTGATTTGGCATTATCGATGAAGCCAGTCATCGATATTTCCCAAACCTAATCATTTACCATTGATCATAACAGGCTAATAAAGACGCTCGATTAGGACAAATTGTAGATGGCAATAAGGTTGGGGCAATTCACTGGCCACAATTCCGAGAGTCGCAAGACCGTTTTAATGGAACTTATAAAGCGTTACAGATGAAAAAGACAGGAGACTACGTCATGGAAAATCCGTATAAGATAAATTGTGACTTTATGGACGAAGTCGATGCATACGGAGATCATTTTACATACAATTGATCTAGTCACGATGGATTTTTAAAATGTCAGTACATCTAATGCCTAATTTATCGCTGCAACTCCATCTATGACATCAGAAACCGCACTTTCGTTCTGTACAAACATAACATTACATCGCAATATCATATTAAATATTTTAATTCTGTTGTTTCTGGTTCAAGTCAGTATCTGTAAATAAACAATTGCTCTACCAACCTCTTTAAACATCTACTTAAACTCCCACCATTCTCATAAGTGATATCATTCTATATGATTGTCGAATCGGTATTATAAACGGTGACTTGAAAAATCTTTTGGTATCTTGTTGCTTGACATAATTTATTAAACAGAGACCGGAGACCAGATGGAAGATTGTTCCGAGCGTTTTAAATTTAGTCATTTTCGATTAGAAATAAAAGTTTAAATGTTCTCGCTTATTTCGTCGAATACCGCCACATGGCCAAACTCTGAAGTTCAGTAAAACAAAAAGCTCTATAAAGTTTTATGAAATAAAACATTAACCTTGGGTACACCTAAAATTCGTCTTTGGCCGCTGGTCTAGAGTAGTGATTTTCATTCTTTTTAAACGATGTAAAACTTATACCTTTTTACGGAATTTCAAATGACAATTTCATATTGTCCGGAGTTAAACGATCTAATAACTTCCTACGTCTTTCGGTTTTAGCATGGAAAGAAAATATTGAAAATGCCACTCGGGTTGGAAAAGAACCAAACAAATCTAAATCTAGGGCTACAAAAAAACGAAATGAAACTAAAAACATTTTATGTTCAGGCACTCAACAAAACGCCGAAATACGAATATGGGCGGCTTGTAACTTGTAAGTAGCTAGAAATAGTTATGACATTTTAATGTGATGCGTGGGCTGGCTCCGGTGATCACAAATCCTTCATTCGGAACTCAGTTACATTACATAGCAATAAATTAAAATAACCCTAAATATTAATACGTGCATCCATACAGAATACGCCAACTCAGCAAAGGTGTAATAGGCGTCAATATAAAAACGAGAAAATCTGGTCAGAGACCGAAGACTTATCGATCGAAAGTTAGGGGATCCCCCAAAACAGCGCTCTTACTCCCTAGTGACACCTTGAGTCCCATCCCTAATTAATTAGTAACTCGCTAATTATACGACATAGTTTGCCCAAAATCAATAGGCTTCTGGTCCGAAATAAAATGGATGCACATGCAAAATCTGGAGCAGATTCAATCTCGTTTTCGTGAGATATCGCGTGCATCTAACAGACATACAGACAGACAAATACCTATCAACATACTTATCGATTAAAATCGATAAGTAATGAATACGTTCATTATACGAGTTTATTGTTTCCGGATCTGAGGATCACCAACAACCGTTATGCATTCATTATCTGCCACACAGCTTTATCTAATGAATCGCTTGTTTGAAGCAAGCTCAGCAGACACTTGAAGACAAATCATCCAGAAAATCAAACGCAAACGCAGAAAAAAGACTTCGGGTTTTCCCTTCATGACGAAGTTTAGGTAGCTGAAAGTTCTGTTTCTCTCTGACGTGTTTGATAAACAAATTAACAGTTTAAATTCCATTCTCCACGGCTATCAAAAAATTTAATCACAGCAACGTCAAAACTACGACCATTCAACGAAAAGTTGACGTTATCGAAAACCTCAGGGGAATCTGTAAAGTATTACTGAAATCATAAACACTTTATCTGTTACACATTAACTACGACTGTCACTTCAAAATTACCTTTCAGAGTTTGTTGTCAACAACTTCATATGGGTAGTTAATCTATTTGGAATCAATGAATCAAGCAGCCTTTGTGCAGTAGAAGACGACAGCTCATTGATTTACGATTTAACGTAATGACCTGTCTTTTTAAACATTCTTTCCCAACTTAATAATTTCAATTTGAAGGACTCTAATTCAACACCGTTTACAACACAAAGACGTTAGTATATTCCCAAAGTACTGGAAATTGCTCATTCAAATATTCCTCCAAACCAGGGTTGCTTTCATCAAAACTTTTACTTTTTCCGCGCAAGATTCTCTGTTGTATAAATCTCGTTTATGATGTTGTGTCATCAAAGATCACCAAGAGTTAGCTTGGGCCTGAAATTATATTACCTTGAGTAAACTATTTAGCAATGTTGTAGCAATTTTACGATATATATTAGTGAATAAAATAAAAAAATACGCATGTTCCGGGCACACTACCAATGTTACATCCTTCTTGAATATTTACACAATACTTCACTATCTTAAAGTTGATATACATTCATTAAAATTATTGCTTGGGACAAACTGATTGTGTTTTCATATTATCTTGGATGTTTACTCTTTATTTATCGAGTAGTTTCACATGACTACCACGCTTTCCAGAGTAATAAAACAAAATTCTTCCAGAATTAAAGAAGTTATCATGAGTTCTGTAAATACCAATTTAGGGTAGTGCTTCCCAACTAATGGCCCGCTATTCCAAGACGTTTTCAACATAAGAACAGATTTAAATTTGGTTAAAGCTATCGACTACGCTTTTGTTTTAAAAAATCACTCCTTTCCGGAGCAAATTTGTTCCAGGGTAACAACTGATGTTTAAATTTTGACCAAGACACATATATTATGTATGATCTTTAAATATACCAGGCATATACATCGGGTAAGTCAATCATTTATTTATCTATTTACATTATGCCAGCCAGCAATGTAGAACAGCACAAAAATTTACGATAACCGACGACATCGTTTGTATTAAACTACATTTTCTGATTAATTATAGTGTGCTTACGCCCTATGATTTATTGTTCTACACTTGTTTGCAAACAAAGTTTCAAGGACATCGATAATTATGCGGTCGTTACACTTTGCAATCGTTTGATTTCTATGCTTACTTTTATATCAGGGAAAAGATCGAATTGGCGGGCATTGTAACTACTTACGATTTATAGTATTCGCAGTTCAGGCCATCTTAATGCAGATATGTTAGATAGATCATTTCACATACGTTACGATCTGTTAGGAAATATAACTGTATAGGCCAGTGTTCTTCAATAGGGTATACGGTATACCCAAATGGGTGACCGTACATTTGAACCCATGTGTATATATGCGGGTTCAATCTCTATGCGAGCGCTAAAACCCATGGGATAGGGTTAGTATGGGTTCAAATATCCGTAAAACAAAAAAAAATTCTATAGGTGCAATAGTATGCAGGTGCAATTGTCGTGGGTTCAAATGTACGTGGGTTCAAATGAACGAAGAACCACCCGAATGTATCGTAACATAATAAGTAAATAAAAAATTTGCGGCCCGCAGTGAAGTGCCAGTTTTGAATGGTGTGCGGCCCGCGAGACGAATTTTCAACTTACTTTGATTTAGCACGTGCGAGTAGTTCCAATTTCTTTGCGTTGCAAGGCCTATTATACCTGAGCTTTGCGAAGCGAACAACGCATTTGATTAAATCAATAAGTTAACCGATTCTTAGTACTAGAAAGCCTAAGTTGAATAAAAGCGTGTCCCGCAGTTTCACCCACTTATTTGTATCTGGCCCTTATGTATTAAAGGTTTCACACCCCTGTTTTAAACTGTAATTCAGTTCAGTTGGAGAACAACAAATAGGGCAAGGTTGAAAGGATTTTTTTTAGCTGAAGTTGTTAGGTAAAATTCTTTTAGTGCAGGCGGTAAATGAAGGGACATTCTCAGCAGGTGAGTAAAAAGACTCAATCAAAAGTTTGTTAAAAATTGGCGACAGTTCACTATACAACGTCATATATATTATTTGAACCAAATACTTGAAAAAATCCATTATCAAAGATTAAATAAATGCAAGTAAATAATTTTCTCAGCAACCCGACATTTTTCTAAGAAATACAAAAGCCTCTCCTTAGCCTCTATTTGATACAATTTTATAGTTACATTGAACAAGAGCCTACGTCGACATGCTTTTTTTATTATTTTCTATCTACCAATTTCTACTATTTTAAATATAATTTACTATGATCTAAGTACGAATTATTCAAATTGACTGAAATTAACATGCAAAAAAGTGTCATATTTGGCTCACTAGCGGTCGGCGCAATCGTTCTTGTGGGAGTTACTGTCACACTAGTTATAACATTACAAGATGTAACTTTAGCACCGCAATTGGACAAGGTGGTTGTTACAGGTAAGTCTGCAATTTACCGATCATTTTTAACATGCCGTGTTGCAATGAGAAATGTAGTCTTGTACGATTTAGTTATAGATGCATATTTTGAAAAATATCTAATACACCAATTTTGATTCAAATCTCAAATTAGTAAAAATGCATGCATTATTATCAGAATTGTTTATATAAATTTATAAGCTATGTATGGATCGGCAATCTGATTCAAATTTTAGCAACATTGCTAAAAGATTAATGTCTCTCTTATTTCGTCAATTTTCATCCACATTCGAATAACGTTACAAAACAATGCAGTATCGTAAACGACGACTCCGAACCAAAACTTACGCAGAGATAGGCTACTTTTCTTAAATCTGAATACTATATAATTATTGACTCAAGTAAATAGGTAGGCATTAGGTATAAGAAGTTAAAAATGTTTGCATCATTATCAGCCACACAGGGAAGTTTAACAGGAGAAGTAATTCCTGAAGCAGGCATGTTTTTTGGCATCCCATTCAGCCAGCCACCCGTGGGAGAATTCAGATGGAAAAAACCAAGACAACCGGTGAATTTTCCTGATGGTCATTGGGATGCGACTTACAAAAGACCAGCATGTATTCAGATATGCCACCAACCCGCTGAAGAATACAGTTGCCCGCCACCGGTAAACGTTTTACCTTATTAGAGTCAGAAAACTGTTCGATATTATATCTTTTGAAAAAGGAAACGAGATATATACTCTGGTGTCTCAAAAATGTCGTTTCCCACTTGACCCACGTGTCCCATTTGCCGCCCCAATTGTCCCAAATATACTTGCCTGTGACTACAATTTTATAGATTACGTAAACGAACACCGCAATTCCTCTCGCCTGTGCGCAACAAAATGTCTGCGGAAACTGCCATAATTTGTTTAATGAAAGTGTTGAGGCGCAACTTTGCACGCGTACTAAGTTGCAAAGCAATTACTTCAATTTAAAATGTTAGCATTGATTCCAATGACACGTCATTTACTAGAATCACCAATAACATTTTCTTATGTTCTAGAATACGTGTTCGTCAAGCGGAAATAATGAACATTGTAAATATAGTTCGCTATATTTATCGCTGTAAATATAGACAACTATTTTATCTTGTTTTGTCTTACAATCGAGATGATAATTAAATAATATCGAAATATGACTATCGGAAAATCGGCAATAATTTAATCAGGTATATATATAACTCACCTATAGTATACGCCAATTTTCACAATCTTTGCCAAGTAGGACACGTGGGGAAAGGGAGACACGTGGAGCAAGCGGGACATGACATTTTCGAGACACCGTATATACTGACATTGAAATTCTGCAAATGCAGTTATTACAATATGCCGAATAGACATGCCGAGCTTGGTTTTTTCAAATTCATATGTTCTGATATCAATACAAAATCAGTAGGTCCTGCATCAACAATAAAACGGAACTCGTATTTATAGAACGAAATTGACGAAGACTGTCTATATTTAAACATCTGGGTACCGTCAAGAATTCTACGACTCGTTGATAGCGACAACGTAATTGGTGGCCAACACTACGTAGTTTCTGAAGAATATCAGAATGGTGACGATAACTCGTTGGCAGTTTTGTTATTCCTTCATGGAGGAAACTTTCTTAACGGCGCTGGATCCGCAACATTATACGATAACAGATATTTGGCAGATCAGGGGAACATTATCGGTATTACAATGAATTACAGGTTAGTTTACACGCCCGAGTCAATGTCAAATGTGCGTTCATAGAATTTTTATTACCAAAAAGTTGCACATACGACTTGAAATCATTCAAAACACACAACACTGCCGTAAAAAAAAGCTCAGTCGATCGCTATTTTGTGAATTCATCTTGTGAAAATTTGTTTGCACGTATATTTATTATAGTTCTTGGCGAAATGTTTGCTTGTAAATTTCTGTTTCTATTTTGCACAGAATGGGCCCGCTTGGATTTCTTGTGCAAGGCGAGGGAGAAGACGCCGCGATCGGTAACTATGGCATATGGGATCAAATAAGAGCACTTGAATGGATTAAAGAAAACATTAAATATTTTGGAGGAAATCCAAACAAGGTGTTAAATATATTGTAAATGTGTATTGAATAAAGCACTTAAATTCAGTATTTTGTTGAACTAGTTGAGTTTCATCTAGATATACAAAATTACTACATTGCTAGCTTCCATGAGATCATTTTGTAAGATATGAAAATAGTTTTCTCTTTTGCCTCAAATGTATACTCATTCATTTTTTTGCAGGTGACAGTTTCTGGACAGAGTGCCGGTTGCGAGTCTATTGGAGTGCTAATGACGTCACCACAAGTTGAAGACGGACTTTTTCATCAAACTATTATGGAAAGTAATCCATTCGGGCTCCCATTTAGAACTTGGGAAAATGCGATGGAATTTGGTAGCAGATTTGCTGAAGCTGCTGGCTGTATTCGCGGTGATATGGAATGTTTAAGGAAGGCGTGAGTATTTACAAAAATATAAAAACAAAACGATTGTCGTGACCTGATGACTAAATTATTATCAATATAGAGTTTTAAACAAAACCTGATTATGACGTGTTGTTCACTAAAAGCAAGGTCACCATCGGGTGGCGAAATTATATATGTTCATGACGAGTCATGAATAAGTTCTCGGAATGATACATATACTTCCGTCTTAATTTTTTATTTTGAGTATATTTCCTTCCAATTAGAACAAATGGAATCATACGTACTGGCCAGCTATGGCTTAGCCTTGGATGACTAGTATAGTAAGATTAAATCATCTCGTGGAATTTTTGATGACGATAAACCTCAATTTCATGCAAAAGTGCGTAGCCTACTCTGTGTCCGTCTACAGTCATTACTAGTTGAATGAGATATATACATAATGTGTTTAGTGACACAGAAACTATACTGAAAGGCTTCGCAGCATCTTCATTAGAAGTTGTGGGATTTGACAAAATTTTGCTGATATTTCAACCATGGAGTCCTGTGATTGACGGAGAATTTCTTCCGGATCAGCCCATAAATCTTTTTGTACAGGTAATGATTATTGTTCGATCAATCAATGATCCATCTCAAAGAGCAAACTAGCAGACACAAGTAGAATAAATTTTCACTGTTATGCCGCATAGACCACCGGCGTCCAACCCCACAGGAAGAAATCGTGCGGCCCACTTGAAGTTTTTATATAAATACGGACATATAAACATAAAATTTTGCATAAAAATTAAGCGCCACAGCCCACAGAACATTATTTTACAGAGGGCCACCCAAGCGTGCAACATCTGTGGCGATACAATAAGTCTTCTCTTCTACCCATTGTGAAGTCATCAGGGTTGAAGTCACATACCGGTACTTTGTTTTATCGATGGTTGTTGAACCACAAAAACAAATCCACCGGTATATCTTAAACAAAAAAGATGAAACTTGAGGATGAAAATCGGAAATATCAAATGTATTGGGAAGAGTTGTAAGACAACGATGTATGCGCCTCCTAATATGCCGTAAATCTGTTTCGAGCTTGAAGTTTTATAAGTTGAAAATTATGAAGTCGAAGCAAAGGAGTACGCTGACTAACGAAAATTTGCCAAGCCAGTTACATTGTGCAGTATAACAACGTTGATATTAAACATCAATGACAATCAGTGACTAGGCTTTTTAATCACGCTTCTGATAAACTTCACAAAAAAAACACAATTTATTCATCAGTTATACGTTGAGAAAAGAACCTGATATTTCTTCCCTCTTCCATATTGTTTGACGTGTATATATATTCCCATTTGAATAAACTTTATAAAACATGTTTCAGGGCAAAGCCAAACAGCTACCATCCATAATAGGCGGGACAATTGAGGAAGCTGTTTTATATGTTGCTCTAGCATTCCCGAGACCGGTATCCAATATGGCTTACAGAGGTGTCTTGAAAACTGTTATGAAAGAAGATTATCAGCCGTTTATCAACTATTTTCCTCCTACGGTAAGTTTTTCAAATTAAATATTGGAAATCATCATTTTAGCTCAAAAACTTCGCAGGGAAATTCTAAAACATTTTATGAGTAAAGTTCTTTTTTCATTCATATCAATCTGACGGCAATTTTAGAAATAACGAAATTCAATTCGTGAAATTAAAGTCGTGATTCGGGATAAAATAAAACAGTATAATCGACAGCAAGAACGGTAAATAAGCTCTTAGTCGCTTTTTCGCCTCGTGTACGACATATATGTAGTATGCGACACATAATAGCCGACTATCGACTATTAAGACATACACGCAATGTTCACGCAAACTTCAATTTTAATACATTTCAGTGCAGACCATTGGTGGATTTTACGTGTGACAACAGAGATATCTTGAGCCAGATTGGAACAGAGTTTCTATTTTTGTGCCCAATGCGCCAAGTTTTGAATTACATGGAAACGAACACCTATTTTTATATCTTCAATCAAACATGGTCATTTTACGTGAGTACAATATGTTTCTATTATGGGTTGTAGATATGTATATATTAAATTGGCGAAGATTCAAATAATTTTGCACATAGCCTACTATAGGTATGTTAAACTGCGTTTACTATATGCAGACAATGCAGTCACTGCAATTTCTTTAATGAAGGCACTATCTATATTTATCAAATACTTAGTTTGTTCAAAGATTTCAGTTTATAGTACCTTAACACAAAATAATCATTAATAAACGCAATATTCGAAGTTCACGGACAATGGGTGCAGAAATTTGAAACGGATTATAAATATATTGTTTCAATATATATATATATATATATATTGGCTTACTACTCTTCGACTCCAGTTAAAAAATTTAAGCCATGTTTTGAACCCCTATTAAGGTTAAAAATCATCTAAACATGAAACTGATAATAAACCCCATAAATACAGGAACTTTGGGAGATCCCGATGTGTTTTGACGCCGTTTGTCACGCCGCCGAACTTCCGTACGTTTTCAACGTTGCCAACTTGACTGTTCACGACTACGATGCAGAAGAAAAAGTTCTCTCTGAAAGAATGGGATTTTATTGGACGAATTTTGTCAAATATGGGAATCCAAATGGTCGACCGTCAAAAGTAAGTGAAGTTAACAATGTGGCATTTTTACATAGACTTTTGGCTTAATCAGTCTATCGGTTTATTCATTTGATGGTTGTGATTATTGAGAGGTTGATACTATGTTTCTAGAATTCACTAATGTTCTTTTGTGTTGTTAGAGCGGGACAGTTTGTAAAAAATGTGATAGTGAAATTACAAGCCTAAAATGTGAGTTCGAAGAATTTGATTCTGTATTCGTTCATCGCGCAAAGCTCATGTATATAGCATACAAATTGGAAAGGGCCACATCGGGATGTTGGGGAGACGATAAGCTTTGTATGGATTTATGAAGAACAAATAGCAAAACCAAAATACCATTATGGTCTTGGGACTTCAGATGAAACACGCCTCAACAAACAGGCTACTGCGTAAATTGTTCAAGTAGTCATTTGTTAGTCAAGCTTAATGGGACGATTAAAACTGGTATTGAGTATCCCAGCTATATGCAATAAATTTCCTACATAGCATATCGTCACGCTAATAACCGAATTGCGTAAGTCATTTTTAGCAGTTTTGAGAAAAACGTAAAAAACTTCCTAATGATATTGTTATGCCATTGAGAGTCAATAATTTGTCATAATTCAATTTTATGATCGTAGCCGGATTTAAGTTAAATTGTATGGCGCAGTTAAGTGACGTCATAATGGCGCACAGTGACTTAAGCAGAAATGTGTCTATGACTTGGGGACATACGCAATTTTGCAACTTTACTATATGCACCAGTTCTGAAAACTAAAAATTTCAAAAAAAATGTAATTCTCAATATCTACAATGCTCAATCCCCAAAATAGCTAATTATTTTCAATTACATTATTTTTTATGTTTAAAAATATATATTTAATCAATATAACACGTTCTGCACACCCACCGGAATAAGACTAAGATTAAATATAAAGAATAAAACAGCAATGCACCCAATATAAAAGCCAATCAAAATGAATTGGACTCGGACAGTGAATATCACAAGTGCACGCCTAGCTATACTGTAGTATAAATTCCAATTAATACGCGCTAAGCTATAATCCGAAATGCAAAAACTCGAAAATACTTCGACGAGGTTATTTTGTATTTGTGACGTCATAATAGTCGTGCGGTACCAATGATAATTCATTATGACGAAACAATTGCACAAATGTTCATGTCATACTAAATCTCCATTTTAATGAGTCCCGGAATTCTCAAAATAAAATCTGAGTTAACAGACAGGTGCGCAGCATCACTTGAATACCTATTTTATGAAAAACTCAAAATCGTCAAAATTGACTTACGCAATTTGGTTATTAGCGTGACGATATGCTATAACTCTGCCAAATTCTTGACGATATTTATATGTAACTTTTATGTGAATCATTGTATTTAGTGAAGACCACGTGTACATAGCAGCACTGACTGGTTTTATTTGTGAAAAATCCATAATTATCAGGCAAATTTACGAAAGGGTCAGAGCAAATGCTGGAGGCCACTAATTGTCGTTTATCGGAATGAACGCCTTATTCTAATGAAAACGTAACTTCAGATTTTATACGTTTATGAAATAATACAATAGACAAACAAATTCGTCTTCTATACAAATTTACTGAAAATCAATATTGCACTAATCGAAGGTTATCAATATTTGCCATTAGAAATATTATGGAAATTTGATAACAAACCAAAGAGATATGAGATAATATCACGGAGATATCTAGGTAAATAAAGTGTTAATCATCCCCATCGTGAGTGGCGACTAAATAAATTTATATTACGTGCGTACCCCTTGATTATATATATCTTCAATAACAACACGGGCCCAATTTCTTGCCATTCAGTCGTTTGAGGTATTTCAATAAAAGGGACATGAAAAACATTGCCCTAATGATATAGATTTTTAAAAAGAATTGTTTATAATTACTCGATCTAAACATCATCACAGACTGAAAAAGACGCGCGATTGGGACAAATTGTAGACGGCGATAAAGTTGGGGCAATTCACTGGCCGAAATACCGGGAGACAGAAGACATCGACAGTGGTACTTATAAAGCGTTGCAGATGACAAAAACTGGAGATTTCGTCATGGAAAATCCGTACAAGGCAAACTGTGACTTTATGGACGAACTCGACTCTTACGGAGAACATTTTACGTATGATTAATCTAGCCAAAACCGTTGTACATCGAAATGCGAATTTTTTTCTCTGTAAAAATCTAATTATAGCATCATCTGTTGCTCAATCACCACTCTTTTCATTCATTCTCTGTTAGATTATCACGCATGGTTACAAATTAACGTTTGGGAAGTCTTGGTATCAGAGAAATAATTTGCCGTCTGAGTAAGTTTGATTAAGTTGCAGTAATAGCAGAGTGCCGTAATTTAGGGCAGAGACGACCATAATCCTGGTTGTCAATACTTTTGACAGTGCTGTCAGCTTGATTATTTTGAAGTAAAATGATGATTGGGACAATGTAAACCAGTCTATAATAATGTAAAATGTAAATACGTTTTGAAAATTGAAAACCAATTGAAAATTATGTTTTAATAACAATCTTGGACGCTCTACATATAATGGATCATGTTCCTTCAACTTTAACTTAATTCATTTTCTTTTGAAGAAGTAATGCATACATACTAGAATCATACAACAACATTAATTTCCACCTCATTATTCTAACTCAGTGGTTTTCAAACTTTATGTGCCTGCGGTCCCTCTATGCTTCTCTGAAGTAATCGCGGACTCCCACAATTTTCAAGCCAAAAACAAAATGGAAAAACATAGAATATAGAGCTATTCGGACAATATTTTAATTAGCTGGTATCCTCACGTACGCAACACAAATAGCTTCCTAATTTACCTCATGTGATCTTGCGCATCAAGTTTATTCCTTGCTTTCGTATTGATTTGAACAAGTATAGAAAACCCATGTCCACATAAAGACGTGGAATACTAATTTTAAATGCAGTGACGTTATCCTCACAACTACGGTACTTGTTTTTGTGCGATATATTCGTGAAAATGATATATATCAAAACTGAATTTTGTTTTGCACTCCTTAAACTACAGCAAAAAGTGCAGATGTAATGGGTAAAAGGCAACATTTTTTGCCTTTTTCGTATTTCCGCTAGCCATTGCTGCTAATAGAATGAATGTGAAAGTTAACAATACTGATAGTCTGACGAGATCGCTAAAATGCAGTCACAGATAAAGGTACGCTGCGAATTTAATAATGAAGACGTCATCACATATAGAAATTTGAAGTGAAAAACGAATTCCATAAAGCACACAGCATTTTTTTGAATAAGTCTAAGTAATAGCCTTCTAGCGACAACAACAATTATAAACCACTGAAAGTTTTTGAAACATTTGATCCTGTGGTAGTATAGTTAAACAGAAAAGCGATTTTTCTCACAACAAGACGAAAATGCAGAATGACAACGTTTGCCCATAATGCAAAAACTAAAGACCTTCGCTGATATTTCTTCGTGGACCCCAGTTTGAAAACCACTGTAACCCGTTTACGTTTTATTGTGATTTCCCCCGCCTCTCCCTAATATGAAGTTACCTGAGAATTCATCAGTTTGATTACCTTTTTCCTTTACCAGTTACCTTCAGTCATCTTAATAACACCAGCAAATATGACAGAAGTTCACCGCATGGTCGAATCGCCCTTTCCTTGCAACGCCGAAACAATTTTACTTCGGTTTAATTTTTACTGTACTCATAACGTTGTTACCCTATCATGACGTTCTCATACGATGTTATGACGTGATACGCATTCGTTGGAGGTTGTCTTCAAACGAGCAGAAAACGAGCGTTGGAGGTTGCAGAAAAGAGTGCTTCACATCTGAGAAACGCAAATGAAGTTATTACGAGGATAGAAAATAAATTTTCAACGTTTCGGCCTAGTAAGGACCAATGTGATATTTGTGGGGGATTTTCGCATGGAAATATCGACGACGGGGAGTATAGGGCTCACGTAATATCAAAAGATGTGACGAGAGCTGAAAAATGCCGACAAAGATTCAGCTAATGAGAGCAGATCCGTTTGGACCAGAGTTGGATCAATTACATTAATTCAGTTCAATCACGAATACAATAACTCCCCTAAATGTTTCAATTACATTACAGTTACTCCACGCAAAAAATATCAAATTACAATTACATTCACAATTATAACTTTTTGGTTCTTATTTACATTTTCCCTTGCTCAAAAACTGTTGGATTGCACCTGATGAAGATTAGGCTGCAAAAGGTTTCTGAACCCAATAAATTTCTTCTTGCCGTATAAAAGTTGCCCGCAATTGAAAAAACTCTTTCTGACGGGGCTGATGTTGCTATTACTCCCAATAATTCTTGGCTAAAGAAGCAAGCGTGGGAAATTCTTCTTCCAATACATTAATGGGTCTGCATCAAATTGCAATTCCCCCCAAATAGCTATCTACTTCACTTTCTGATTTTCTTGGTCTTTTCTTTTTTAAATCTTCTGCCATCGCTGGGAAGAAGAAGTTTGAAAAAATGACTTGATAGGTGGTTGGCTATGATCAACCTTAGCCTTCATCGTGTTTTCCTGGTTTTTCTTGTGAAGTTTATGTATTTAGGAAATATATAGATGGGGAGAACATATCTTCAAGTGCGTGATCAAGTTTGACGAAGCCTTGGTTGAGAACTTAAGTTTCTTTTTGCAGTTGTCACAGCATGCCTCAGTGCTACTCAAAGATTTAAAAAAAACTCTGACAATGGAGCAGGGAGTGGTTCAACACAGGTTTCGGAAGCGTTTGTTTCATGTTCATTCATTTCCAAAATACTAAGATTTAGTCTACTAATTGAAAGTGTAATTAAGCCAACATTTTAGCAAATTACAGTTACGATTACACAGAATGAAAATGCCTCCATTACATTTACAAGAAAAACTGGGATTAATTACATCCATTACTTTCTGATTTTCTTGGTCTTTTCTTTTTTAAATCTTCTGCCATCGCTGGGAAGAAGAAGTTTGAAAAAATGACTTGATAGGTGGTTGGCTATGATCAACCTTAGCCTTCATCGTGTTTTCCTGGTTTTTCTTGTGAAGTTTATGTATTTAGGAAATATATAGATGGGGAGAACATATCTTCAAGTGCGTGATCAAGTTTGACGAAGCCTTGGTTGAGAACTTAAGTTTCTTTTTGCAGTTGTCACAGCATGCCTCAGTGCTACTCAAAGATTTAAAAAAAACTCTGACAATGGAGCAGGGAGTGGTTCAACACAGGTTTCGGAAGCGTTTGTTTCATGTTCATTCATTTCCAAAATACTAAGATTTAGTCTACTAATTGAAAGTGTAATTAAGCCAACATTTTAGCAAATTACAGTTACGATTACACAGAATGAAAATGCCTCCATTACATTTACAAGAAAAACTGGGATTAATTACATCCATTACAATTACCAATTAGAATTAATCCAACTCTGGTTTAGACTATGGACTTACGGGCAGTCCTGATTCTTCCTAAAACCCACGCCAGCTCGGTGTCTTATTAAACCAAACTTCATATGCATAATTTTACTTTTTCTAATTTGGGAACAAAAGAAGGAATCTGCTATCCATGGGAAGAGCACGAAAGCGGTTTAGGTAGTGAAGTGTTTGCTTCGCTACATTTCTTTCATTTCCATCAATATGATAGCGATCATCTTTCAATAAAAGAACTAGTGATATGGAGTGACGGTTGTTGGTACCAAAGCCGTAATGCAATCGTCGGACATGCATATTTACATTTGGCACGGAAACAAAATTAAAATAACGCAGACATTTTGACGACTGGACACACTCAGATGGAAGTGGATTCAATGCATTCCGTGATTGAGAAAAAAATTGTGGCCTACATTATTACGTCACGTGATTATCACGTAATCCTGCAGTGTCAAAGGTCTCGGCCATTTCCATACCAGGTCAAGCCAGTACAACATCAGGATTTTAAGAAAATGACGGGGCAATGAGTTGCAGTACACGCCCTGGAAGTAAAGCAGGTGGTCCAAAGGTGCATGATCTCCGAGCAATACAGTATACTTCCACTATTCACTTTAAATCTAGATTTTTGTATTTGTGTTTTTGTATATATATTTTGGAAATTACTACTGCGCAGAATTCATAAAACTGAAAAATCATTCCAGTGGATAAATTTGTTTCCAGGTCAACTTAAGATAGGCTATAGAAAATTTTGTGACACACAAGAAATGAAATGAGTGCTGCCAAATTAAGCACATCGCTTTTATGACGAAATTTCACACTATTCATTATAAATATCTATTTTCATGAAACAGAAATGCGAAGTTATGTTAGTTGGTGCTGAGGGTGTGTTTTTCAATAAATTCTTCATCGTTTGTTGAATTGCATAGCGTGTTACATTGACAAGGTAAAAGTTGTGGGAAATAAAGAATCGAGTCGTATTTCAATGTCGTACATCCAGCGCTCGAAACAGCGCTTCCCAAATGTCTGACATCGTAGATACTGTAAACTACATACGTTTTTCGTATGTTTGGTTTTCAGGACTTCAGAATGGATGTCAAGTTGCGAAATAAGGTATGTCACTAAGTCATAGGCATATTTCTGCGTAAGTCACAGTGTGTCATTATGACGTCACATGCCTGGGTCACGAAGATTAATTTGAATCCAGTTACGACTAAAAAACGAACCATGGAAAATTATCTACTCTCAATGACAAAACAATACCAATTGGGAGTTTTTCTCAAAACTGCTAAAAATAAGTTACGCAATTTGATTTGAAGAAAATGCAAAGAAAAGGAATGTTTTGCGTAGCAACTTATGTTACGGTAAGTACTGTGCTCACAAAACAGTGTCTCTTTCACGAATGATATTTTTCCGCAAACAACACCAATCACAAGTAGAAGTGGGAAAACCAGTGAATGATTTTCATTGAAAAAAGCAAACTTTGGGGTAAACAAATGGCCACATGAAGAGAAAATAATCAAAAAAGTTGGACAAATTTTTAAATTCAAGTATTTTTTTTTTAAGTAGGTAAAGAGAAGAACAATTTTTTAAAAATTTGAATAAAACGCAATAATATTAACCATTTATAAAATTATTCAACACAGCGTTAAATGATAAAATCATCTACACTTTATGCTTTTGCACATGAGAATAGTTTCAAATTGACGAACTCCTATTTGGCGCGGCGGTGTGGCTCAACGGGCTAAGCGTTAGGAATACGCTCGCCACCGCACCTCTAATTACTCTGCGTGGGTTCGCAGGTTCGAATCCCATGCAGGGATGGTTATGTGCGAGAGGATTGCTGGACTCCTCGCCGTCGTTGGGTGGTTCACGTAACGGCTTCCTCCACCACCAAGTCCATGCTTCCGAAAACAAACAATACAGTAAAAACTAATCCCATACCCGACTTGGAATGGTAACCGCGGTTCGCCATATGGATAAGCCGTCTTATCGGCTTTCCTCTCCCCCGGGATAAATATGTAAATCCTATCCTATTTCAAAGATGGCGAGTACAATACCAAGCGAAGATTGTGAAACGGTGCCGATAGTACTGTCTGAAACGCTAAAAGATTTTGCAACCTGGATTTTGACAAACGATTGTAATTTTTTTCATTTACTCCAGGTTCATTGCCGTCTAAATTAGCATATAATCAGACTAATGACCAGGACATGACAATGACTCGTTGACTCAAACACATTCAAAAAAAATTTGTATAAAAAAAGAGTCGAAAAAAATGAACACAAAAAACTTTGAAGAATGTAGAACTTCAAAACGATCGTCAAAACGCAAAACTTTTAAACAGTTGGATTCAAACTTGAAAAAGATGACATTCATTGTTTTCATTCATTTCTATAAATTTTAGTGTGAGATTAATATCATTAATTTTAAATTTGAAAAAAAGTCATTGGTTCCTTAAGAAATTAGTAAAATAAATATTGTCAAACTTTGCTCGTAATAAATATCAATAGAATGTGTCATTTTTATATTTGTTTCAAATATTTATTATTATGGGATATGTTCGAAGCACTCAAGTCCGGCATTTTGATTTCCCTGATTGGACTGTATTGTCATTTGAAATTATGCTATTAATCATTTTATGAATCGGAATACATTGCTGCGAAGCATTCATAAACAATAAAGGCCTATGGTTTGTTATGTATCCCTGTATAAATGAAATTAAAAACAGTTGTTTATAAAATATAAATGAAATGCAACCAACATTTTAAAAACAGCATATTATTCTATACTGAAGCATTGATGGAAGGATTGAAAACGAATTGACTAATATTTATAGCTATTTTGTTACAGCAATTGTTTTGTCACAATTCCATAAAACATTAAGGGAATGTTGTCGAAACACTGCAGAGTTATCCAGAATGTAGACAGATCTGTATGTATTAGTTCGAATCGCACATTGCTGCTTAATATTTGAATCCATTTTAACAATCCAATCACCTTTCCAATCACCATGTTCTTTTTCATTATATGGTTTTATAGGTCTTGCTACCACAACCTCATATCGACCGGTGTGCAGACTCCAACATAAAATAAATTCTGCTTGTTGTAAAGTTGATCCAACATTTTCTGTACTTGATACGATCTCCGATATTGTTTTGTTTCTGTGTTTTGCTACATTAAGTAAGGCCACTATGTGAATAACAACTGATTTTGTGTCACTGCAAACATCCATAACGTTGGCTTCGTAGTCAACAAGATAGCCAAATTTATAGGTCATATAACATCTTGTGCGCAAAATATCAAAGATAACATGTTCTAAATCAAGCACTAAATGCTGACTGAAAGCTTGAACAAGCCCCAGACCTTTCTTAACTGGATGCAAAACCTCTCCTCCCGAGCCTTGACAAAACATAGAACAGTAAAATAAGTTGTTTTCACTGGCCGACAAAGGATCATCTATATTTTCTAAGGGTATCGAGCCATACAAGCATTCAGAAAATGAAACCAGTCCATCAGAATTCTTACCACCATCAATGTTTTTATTGCTTGACTGAAAATGATTAGAATCTGTCGAACAATGGATGCTGCTACTGCATTCACTGGGAGTAGGACTCGGTGTAACAAAATTCAATTCCGATCGAGGTAACTCTAAGTTATTCTGACTTTTATTTATGTTGGAAATGCCTAAGATGGTAGACTTAGTTGATGGAGACAAAAATGTAGTTTTGGACGTTTTTATTGCAGGACTTGCACTAGAATTCACACAGTTGTCCAAATCACTCACATGCATAGAAGATGAGAAGGATAAAGAATATTTTGCAGAATCACCATATTCTGAGTATTTGGCACAGTCGCAATCACAGTTATTGAAATGTGAGGTAACTTTGGCTTGGTTGTTCAAGTATGGCTTGCATGAACATTTTGAATAGTTTGGTTTAGTTGGTTGCTTTTCAAGACTGCTCCCACAACATCCATCAGCCAGACGTTTTACATCTGTGCGAGAAGATTTTGTATCAGTTATTCGCGATTTCTTGCCAAGCACAATGCTTTTGGGCTCTGGATCAAAATAGGGATCACTGCTAAGTGACATTTCAAACTCTAACTGTTGACATTGCGTAGTAACAGATCTGCAACAAGTACATTTTGCAATATTTTCCTTATTTTCTACTTTTGCAATGTGAAGTGAAATACGTTCAAAACTATCAGAATCATCGCTGTCAATATCATAAACAGATGTCTTGATAAGTCTGTTTGCTGATGGTGAAGAATTTTCATGTGGCACAAACAAAGCTGATTTGGCTGACAAAAGTTTGTCAGGTGGAACAGACCTTTCTGGTCTGGCATAAATTTTAAGTTCATTTTGAAGTTTGCATTGCTTTTCTTTTGATTCAAATCGTCCAGGTTCACTATTGGTAAAGGTGTCTTCGGTGAGTATTACATTATCAACAACTTCAGTCAACTCATTGTCTGTTATGCTGTCTTCACAAGCTGCTCTTTTTATTGAACTTAGTGGTAAAAGCTCAACATCTAAATCTTCTGAAACAATCCCAGTGCTAATTACAGCAATTGAATGGCCAATGTTCAAAATCATGATCCCGTCAATTTTCAAGCTGCTCGTGTTTAAAACACCAAGTTGTGATGCCCCAGAAGCTTGTTTGAAATGCATAGCAAAGCCATGCTCTGTGCATCGATTATGACTCATTACATCAGTCTGTTCTTCAATTTCGCTATTTGAGTTAGTACAGAGAAAATTGCATAGCTTGCATGGTTCGGTGGGAGGAACAGCAACAATAGAGATGTAACAACTCTCCGAGAATTTCCTCCAACCATAGACAATTACTTGTGACTTCAAATTCGGCCACTCTGCATAGCACAAATACAGAGAGTATTCAATTTCCTCATTTGAAAAGAGACGAACTGATCCAATCTTTGATGCTTTCATTCCAGGGTTAAAAAGCCACCAATGCAATGTATAAATATGTGAAAGAAATCCAGTATGACTGGCTTCTTCTATTCTTTCAGTGTATGAAATCAGAAATCTGTCACAGCTACTGAATCCCAAGAATATATGGGCTTCATCCTGCAATGTTACATCATCCACTAAAGATGTCAAAGGCATAGCTAGACGCTTTGGAAGACGTGTAAAAACTTTCTTTTTGAAATTATCATGTCGAGACCTACGGCTCATGTTACAGACCCCAAATATTTCCCTATTTCGCAGTCTTCCTGCCGCTGTTGACCAGATATTTTGCTTACTGAATCGACACTTATTTTGTCCACCATTCTCATGTGGCAAATGCTGGTTCATTAGAGGACTTAAATTATGAAGTAGGCAGGTAGATATTTCAGTGCTTACAAATTCCTGGAATTGACAAATTGTTAATTAAACGAATTACTGTATAATGTACATACAGTACAGACATACAGAATGGCAAACTTCCGAGTTTATCCTACCACAAGTAATAAGGGTTTAATAACTTAGTGAATATTGCAGCATTGACACTTCCCTGTTAGAGCAGGATATTGCCGATACCAGTACACTAGTGGATGGTTGTGTACAAAGGGATTGAAGAGCTGTTTTGTGTAGACTATACAGGTATAATGACCCTTACAGCCTTAGGATAGAATTTACAGATTCATCCCGGGGGAGAGGAAAGTCGACAAGATGACTTACCCATATGGCGAACCACGGCCTCTCGTCTGGTTATCATTCTGTCATTCCATTGAGCATGGACTTGACAATGAAGGAAGCTGTAACCGACAAGCGGTTGCGTGAGTGGTGGCTAGTCATAAACATATGCATTTATTTATACAGTTACCGGTACCGTACAGATACATGATTTAACGCAAGTTCCTAACTTTGTCACACTGCTGTACTGTCGAACAACAAGAAGCAAGAACCTAAGAATGATGACATGAATAGGATAGAAATTCATAATTCAATCCAGCCATCAAATACCGGGCACGGTACCGTACCCTATTTAATTGCAGGCGTGTTAAAAAAATTAAGTTCTTGTGTAAATCTTTTTGCAAAAAATAAAGCCAGGCATTAAAAAGGTGAACATGGTTGTCATTTCGTAGACTGGATTGTCTGACCTCAATGCGGTACCGGTACATGGTACCTGGTATACCGTACCTCTGGCGTGACTGTTCATGATTGTAAGCTCCCAACCGCTTACTGCTGTACTGTAAATGTAGGCATCGGTACCGGTACAAGTGAAGTCATCAACCAAGTCAGCAAATGTCCAATTCATTCATATGTCCCGGGATAAATATGTAAATCCTATCATCAGCACAGTATCTTTGGTATATATAAAACGGTGACAGTACATTTGAACCCATGTGTATATCCACGGGTTCAATCTATATGCGGGTGCTAAAACCCATGGGATAGTATGGGTTCAACTATCCGTAAAACAAAAAAAATTTCATAGGTACCGGTACCGGTACAATAGCATACATGTAGACTACGTGGGTTCAAATGTAATGGAACCATATAAAACACATGCGGAAAGTAGGGAATTCCCCCCTAATTTATCGAAAGAAATGGACGAAATCGTCAATCTAACTGCGTTGAATCGTTATTTATGCAAGAAATCATCTTTCTCTTCTAATTCACCAGCACAGTACCGGTACCGTATCTTTCTTTCTGCACTGAACTTTCTGCACGCCAAGTCTTCATTACAGCCAATCCAAGTCTTACAAAATAAAATAATTACCGGTAGGTGCATATCATTTTCCGAGAAGAGTCGTATAACTATAACGTCCGACTTTTCTGTCAAAATGAAATTTTACAGTTCTCAGAGATGCATACTTTAGAAATTGCTAAATTTATGCATCGGCATGAAAATTCTCCCCCCTGCTTTCAAAGACTATTTTACTCATATAAAAGATGTACATGAGTATGGTACCAGATAAAAAAAAAATTAGACCCTATTTCACACCGCAGGTTTCAACTGATGTTGGGAAGCGATCTTTAAAATATAATGGCTGATAATGGCGTACAAGTTTGGGGTGATGTCCCATCTGAAATAAAAAATGTGTCTCTATCTCTTTTTACTAAGGAAATGAAAAAGCTTTTGCTAACAATGTATTCAGAGTAGTTAACATTTTATTTTTTAAATGCGTCAATAATATGATTGATTGTGAAATAGCTATTATTCTTTCAGTTTGCATTATATATTCAACTTCCGATTGTATATCAGTGTGTATTTCTCCAAGATTAGTGTATAATGTTCAATAATTGGCCTACCTTAATATTAGTATAACATGGTGAAAATTTTTTCATTATTGTGTCTGTGCTACTCTGTTTATTTATATTTTATACTGAGCCCGACTCTGTTATTGCGATCTGATCTGTAATGTACTAGATCACAATGTAGCATTGGTATTATATATATTTTACACATGTCGTCTAAACTCTATCACAATGTGCTCTTAGTGTTGAATCATGGAACTAAAATATCTGCTGACTCATTCTCCGTCTTTATATTTATATTGTAGCAATCAATTCCGACTTTTTGGTAACAGTGTTAAAAATTGCTCAGGAGCCTCGATGACCTTCAACGGTCCTGCATACTGGCCAACACAAAACGATGTGTAAATTGGATTAGCCTACTTCTATGAAAATTATCGATATTGTTTTATACTGTTTTTCATTGTTTAATTATATTCTAACTCTATAAAAAATTATCGGTATTATTTAATATTGTTTTTGTGGAAATAAATCTCTCTCTCTCTGAAATAAAAAAGACGTTTCACCTACAGACATACGAATTTTCAGAATCCAGTTGGATAATTCAAAATTCCGGTATAAAAAATTTAAATAGATAGTTTATTTTGAAATATTTCATTTTGAAATATTTTATAACTAATTATCAACTATCGATAACTATGAAAAACATTACGCAATTGAAAAACATTTTATTGACAAACTGCGTGAAAATATACTGGAGAGGGAGACATACTTTTGGGGGAAACAGGAGGAGGATGGGTACGAATCAGCGACATGATTTCAAAAGGAGAAATGGGTACGAGGGAAGCATCACAGACTATGTTCTTGATAAAAAATATTGCAACGGTGTTAATATAATTATGATATTAAATAAATTGTTTGAAGAATCCATATAGTGACATATTTGCAATGCCGGGTTTCCCATTGGGCAAAGTAGGCTGAAGACTATAGGGGCCTCGACATTAAGTTTCGAACTGTTATTCATTTTTAAGTCGTTTTGAAATTTAAAGTCTTGTTCAAGGATTTTACCGGTTCAAAAACCTTTTAAAATGACATTTATTTATTTTTTAATCGGCTCAATAATTCTCGTCGCGAATATAATTGGTTTACAAGATTAAACAAATATATATATATATATATATATATATAGTCGAATAAGATAGTTCCCAAGTATATAAAGGCAGACGTAGTTGAAAGAATTCCTTCAAACATACGGTGGTTAATATTTAACAATCCATTAATTTCTCTTCAACAATGGGTTGAAATACTGCATACTCCTTGTAATGAAGGGCGGTTGGCAACCCTAATGTCATCATGTCTTAGTGACGAGAAAGTCTTTGCAAACGATTGACATGTTTCTACCGACGAAAACAACTAGAAAAAGCTATTTTTTCGGATTTGGATTAGTTGCTTCAAGCCTAGTTTCGAAGCGTAATGCTTATATATAATAAAATCAATTTTTACCATTTGAGGAAGAAACAGAGTTTTTGGCAGGTTTCAAACTTCCAATTAGGGAATCAATGCCAGGTGTATCTACACTCGAACAACTGTTGTCAATTTATCGTTACTTCACCCTGCTATAGCTCCAATTTCAGTGGCGCATGAATCCTCGATGATTCCGGTCGGGTCTAATTTTTCTTACGCAACTTGGAATGAAAGTCTGCGTCTCGAAACAACTAATAAAGTTGGATCTCTTCACCGTACTCGCCCCATATTTGTCTCGTGAGTGCATGCAAATCACTGATAATTCTTTGTGTGATAGGTATTGTGGTCATCACGGAGGCAAAAAGATCTTCAGCGTATGAAAGCCTCCATAATAATTTTAAACGGTTCAGTAATGCTCTCTGAGTTTCGACTTTCTCCGTCACCATTCTCCCACTGCGGAGAATTCATATTTTCGACTCGTGCAGTTCGAAAAAAACATGCCGAACTTCAATCTCGCGGCCTAAGGTCGTACTACTCCCATAAGACTGAAGAATATGAAATAATGACTATCCAACATGATTGCCCCACAATTTGCGTTCGAACTGTAAATTCATTTCACATTGACGGAATATTGCCTCGATGCGCTTATTTTTTTAAATTTGCACTTATTTTGTCTACATCCATCAATTAGCTAATCACCAAGTTTCCAATGTTAATTCAAAAACAAAGTGAACGGGTGACGGTTTTGAAAATGGATAACGCAATATTTGTGGTATTAATTTTGGCCTAGCAGATTACGCATCTTGTTCCTCCATTACCTTATCGTTTAAAAAAAACGGTTTGTTTTTGGCTATTCGTTGTATATTCCTAGTCTTAAGTTACTCAACTACAGGCTGTTCATTTTCGCCACATTCACGTCAAGATATTCCTGTAATCGGACCCAGAGTACAGTTTATGTAATACAATCGTACTCCACGTAGAGAGAGAGGGAAAACTGCTCTAAACGAAATATATTTAAAGACATAGTATTATCTGATAACTGGAGTGAAATTCATTCTATATTTTCAGCTCTTGCAACTTCGGTACTCGCCCGTAATTTTCTCCTCGATAAGCGTCGCAAGTGTCGAGTGCGTGGAACCGGAATTCGATCAAAATTTCCTAATCAAAAAACTTTTTGTATGAACATTGGGTTTAATTGCATCGTATGATCTAATCTCTAATGTGCAGTAATTTAAGTGGCATTCAGAGAACTAGGGAGTTGCGCCCTTATTCTCAACTGGGCAAATAAACTTGAAATACCTATTTGCAACATTTCTCATTTACCTACCTCATTGAATGTGATGTTATACCCATGCTTACTTATTATCTAGAAAATATTTTAACAAATTTACCAGTAGGTAATATTACGACCGTTTGAGTGACCGGGTCGTTTGCATACAAGATCGTAACTAGGACCGGGCATTTTGAATCCCTTAGTAAATTATTCAAATCGGCATAGTCTTGTTTTTTTTTCGTTCGCCAAGGATGGAGGTAATTCCGTCATTTTTTTGTTGAATCATTTTTTTTTTAACGCAAACTGACATGCGAGTGATTGAGTGTGAACGAACACTCAGAAAATCGTCGGAGTGATGGATTCTATTTTTTCTGTAATTTATTACTGAAATTACAACAACAAAACACATACGATTACCAATTTTCCAAGTATTAGAGATCTGATTTTAAAATAACCAGGTATTCGAAAATGCCCAGTCCTACCTGTGAGCGAATGGATCTGCGCGAATAGAAGTTTTGCGAGTACAATTGTTGATTTGAGTTGGGTTGCGCGAGACTAACTTCCTATCTTTTCTCTATGCCTTTATGCTAGTGGATCCGTATGCGTATACTGCAAGGATACTGTAGCTGGAAGAAACATGACTATTCAACATTTGTTGATGTTGGGCATCCAATATACTCGCGTGATTAGGGAGGGTATTTTGCTTGCAACAGAAATTATGTTCGGCAAATTAAAAAAAAACCTCATAAACATTTTACAAATAGATTCATAAATATATGTATAGAAATCTCTATTGCAACATAATAATGAATTTCACAGAACACGGTAATATATCACTATGAATTTTTCATGTTGTTCCCAACGGAAAATATGACATCGTATTACATTTCAAAATTTCAAAATACATTTCCATTTATCAAGTTCATCAAGCTATTGTGGCGAGGGTTTCTTATCGTTTAAATCTGGCCCTGACACCATGCAAGCATATGTCAAATATAGAAAATATAGTAGAAGTAACCAGGCAAAGGACAAGTATTGTTATTAACATACAGAACAGAGGGAATTTTCCAATTCAATGGTAATTTTGTTTTGTAGCAGTGATCCCATCACACTTTTGCACAGATGTCTGGCTAGATTTGAAGGATCTTGATTGTAAAACTCATCCATGCTATCAGATTTGTCTGATGGCTCATCCTAAAAATGAGAATATATATGGGTAACAAAACTACATGCAGACATCCAATGGTAATGAGAGCAAAATTGACACTAAGCATTGATTTTTCCGTCTTGATTTGTAAGATATTTTACATTATCGAACCTTTTTATAGAGTTCATATGCAGATTTGATCACCAGATCCATACAGACACAACTCTCAAATTGTAGTTCTGGATTCCTTTCCAAGATTGTTCCTGTTAGAACTAACGTTTCGACCATAATGTGTCGATAAACTGGTTCTCGAATTCCTGCAAATTTTTCTCCAACAAGCTTACACCAAGTAATTTCAAATGGGCCTGAAACAGGGTCAATGTCAACTTATATGTTATTGAATTATTACATTATCCATATCCAATAGACGATTATACAAATTGCACCTAGAAACATCACTGAACAGGGTGAGGTAATGATGGAATACAATAACCTAATCACTATAAATTGTTGGTTGTTGATGGATTTATGGAATTATGAAATTCTGTGCCAATTGCCAAGTAAGAATGTACTTGTGTTATCAAGTTATCAAGTTTCAAGAGTGATCATCAATATCCAATGCAATATAGCCTACGAAAAAGTATACTAAACATCATTCAAATAAAATTTCAGAGCAGAAAAAATTTCCATCTGTAAAAGATGGTTTTACAAAATTAAATATCACTAGCAACAGTTGTATCCAACTACTTTATTTAGTTAACAGACTCACTCATATCAGATATAGTAGGTTGATAAGGAAGATGATTTCCATTGATATTTAGGCCTTCTGGGCTCCTTTCCAATATTGACCAAACTTTGGCATAAAATCCCTTTGGCACCTTTTTGAGATATGAAAAATTAATATTTGATATTTTTATACCGCGGAATGACAATGAAAATCGTTCATTTTGACCGGTAATTTGTTTTAATAATTAATTTATTTGTCCATGCAAACCTAATATATATTTCATTGCAAAGATGGAATTTTCCTGCAAATAGCCAAAAGTTGATTTTGCTTTCCATTTGAGAAACACTTCTGAAAACCTTTTATTACTGCTATACAGCACCATAAAATAAATAAAAATGAGAAAACATCAAGATGACATGAAAAACTATTTTATATGCCTGCATAGTTACAAACCTTATTCAAAGCTCCATTAATTTGCCTTCGTCTGAGCCAAGATAGGTGACATTGTGAATCCTGGCTTACTTTCAGTACATCTAGCATTAATTTTTTGATTTCACTCGGTGACATGGAGTAAATGTGTTCGTAAGAACTTTCATCACTTTCTTGATTGTTTGATAATTGCAATTTCATAGCATGCACCAACCATCCTATTCGAACTTGAAGCATACCTGAATGTTGACGGACAAATATAACTGTACTCAAATTTTGTAAGGTTGTTGTTTTACAAACGAACTAACTGCAATTAATCATCATTATTTTTATGAAAGTGTATCTTTATGCATCTAAATAGTAGATTTATTCGAAATTTCAGTCTCTGATTAACTAAATATAAATATATTAATAAACATTTAGTAAACAAATATATTCTTCTACTGTTACCACGAGGGCCGCAAGCATAAATCTGAAGGCCCGGCAGGCCGCAAACTTTGCCACAAAAAAGAAACTTCAGTTTCATAAACTGCTAGTAAAAAATAATGGGCTTATTAATAGGTTGCACTAATGGGTGTAAGATTGTATACCGATATTGTTTTGAGCGTGATTCAGTCTGAATACTGAGATATCTAAATCAGGGTTTTCCCGAACGGGGGTCGAGCGACTATTTTAGGGGTCGGGAAGGGCACACCAATTTCACACAAAGTTCGATATTTATTGAAACTAGTGCAAAACATAAATCTCACAATTTCCAATGCCAGCTTTGATTGTTAGACCCGAGAAGTGGCGTGTTTCCAAATCACCCGCGGGCCGCACAGGAGTATCTAGCGGGCCGTATGTTGTGCAGGCCTGTTCTACTGCATATTGTTAAAAAATACAGATTGGTCAAAATAGCACAACCTCACCTTCAAACAAATCTGGATGATCTGTCATTGCTGCAGCAACATGCAAAACAAGTTCTTGTTGCAAACACGCCTCATAATCATTATGTTGTGGGCATTTTGTATACAGAATTTTTTGGATCTCTGATGGTGGTATCGGATTGTTGATGACTACCTGCATAAGGTTACTTTTCTTTATCAATTGGTAGCAATATGATCGACTTACAGTGTACAATCCTACAAACCTCTTCATGGTTAAAAACGCCTAGTGTAACTTCTCGGCCTCTCACAAGAATAGCTGTGATTGAGGGGGCCAAACTGTCAACAATTTTCTTACACAAGCAAGCACTGTATCGAACTATTCCCCACTTTTTTTGGTGTGCTGCAATTCTGTAAATTCGGAAGTAAATCAATATTGTGAATTTTCACCTTCACGGTAAAGTCCAACAAGGCTGGTGAAAGAGACTTGCAGGGTTTGGAACAAGAAAAAATTATGCAAATGCCAGATGACGCAAATTTTGTACTTGAGCTTTACAATAATCAACAAATGCAATTTCAATGATGAAATGCTTCTACTAAATAGTTACCACAATATACATTCTCACATTTTCTATACATTAATCAATGACATTGGCATCTTGAGTTTTCAGATATGCATGATCTTTAGTTACCTATATACTCTGTTGATATGATCAACGCAACTCCCTCGATGTGTAATAAACTGAGGGCCTTCTCGTTTCATTAGGATTCCAAGTAAATAAGAAAGGGCTTCTACTGAAGTATAGTTTCTGAGAACTTGTACAATTTCAGCAGAAGACTTCTGTCCATCAGTTTTCATTTTTATATCCTGTTTCACAAAGTCAAATTATTACACTTACTATAAGCAAAGTCACATGTGCTCAATCACTAGTGAGAAAACACATACACAGAAAAACAGCTCAATGATTGTAAATATTAACAAACCCAATTAAATTAAAGTAAACAGTTAACATAAGAATTCACAGCCAGAAAAGTAAAAATTTCTCTTGATAGACCATGGTTTGCTAGAGCGAATTGCAGAAGGTTTGAGAATGATGACAACATTGAATTTGTGCTCATTTAAGAATACCCTAATTCAATAATACCAACAGCTAGAATGCGTTTTGTAGGTAATATGACTTTTTGAATACTGAAGAACACACAACATCGCACACTGAATCTTCTAAAATATTTTACAACTTCAATATATTTTGATATTCAAGTTATTTCGATTAAGAATTTATATTTAAACAATTACGTTAGAAAACTTTGATATTCTAATATAATTTTCTCTGAATAATACAAATTTAGATTGAATTCAAGTAAAAAGCATAAATAAACAAAACCTCATCTTCAACTGAGCCTATCTGTTGTCTTAAATTAGTGCAAGAACTTCCATGACATTTCAATGTATTGGTTTCATCATCTTCTTCATCCAAGCCATAAAATGGCTTAAAAAATCCGGAATCAATTTCTCGAGTTCCATATCTGTAAAGAAGATTAGAAGAAAGACAAGAATATAATTGCGCAAGACTAGAAATACCCAAGAAATTACAATTAAAAGTATGTTATAGGGAATTGAGAACAAACTATAAATGAAAGCATCGACCATTATGTCTGATTCAGAGGTTCCTAACCAGGGTGCGATCGAACGCCTGGGGTTTCAATTTCAACAGAGGTTCGATTGCTTATTACAAAAAATTATGCACTTAGATTGAATGTTCTGGGTGAATAAAACCTACTATTTTTGCTTGTATGAATATGTGGCCATCCGTTCTTAATCATAACAAAGAACTTCATAAAACTTCGAAAAAACAAAAAACTAAATGTAAACAAGGATTTCCTAGATGAAGCAACTGTTTTAGCACTGCTAGTTTGTTGTAGGCTATTAGAAAAATTCCCATATTGATTTGAAAATAATCTAAAAGTAAAGACTAACACACCCAAATATATCAACTGATCCAATTGCAATCAAGATAAGGTAGAAAACAGAAAATAACCTGAAATAAATTCCGGATTCAAATTGTAATAACAGGATAAGAAAACGGTATTTTTGAAGATGGACTTGGAAAAAACAAACCTGACAAACTCTAAGTGTTCGAAGAATGTTGATCCAATAAATGATTGTATCTTTCCAACTCGAATTTTAACTCCTTGCCATTCCCCTCTTTTAAATGCACTTAACATCTAATGAAAAAAATACATACAAATGATCAATATTTCAGGTATGACATGCCAAGTTTAATAGTCATCCTTCCATTTTTGTGTTTTTTGTTAACTCTTATTTATTAAACACATCGAACAGGTATTTGAGATCGCAATCCTCCCTTGTGAACTTATCCTGCCTTGGAATGGGGTGGTAATAGCTTTTTGATATGCAATTTTTGCTTAAACATTTTTTCATGCTTGAGTACTGTAGCATTACATTTACGAATAGATTTGTGACACTACCAAATAGTGAATCACTTATTCAAAAATACCAAAGTTACAGGAGAGTGTGTATAGACCAGGCAATTCTTGACAGAATTGTATTGTTGCCGTGGGCCTATTGTGGTTTAAACCCCTCAAGAACTGTATACTTTCCTGGGCATTTTTTTGTTAAAAAGGATTTGCTTAATAAAGTGAATGGTGCAACTCTTGTCCTGTATTGCTTATCTATCATATATATGTTTGGTTGGGAGATGATTTATAACTGTATGCAATAAACAAATTGATGTTTTCACAGGATGTTCATTAATTGACACTTGAAAAGTGTGTGAGTGCAATTAAATCTATAAGCAATTTTGCAGTTTGCCCAAGTCTGCAAATCACCAAGAGACAGTATTTGATATAAGCTGCAAAATCCCTTATGTAATTGTGATTTAATATTTGAATTTCAGCCTAACACTAGTCTCCAAATACTATTGTTTGGTCACTAAACAATACTATCGTGATTCAACTCACTTCTAAGATGGGTCCCAATCTCTCCTTCTTCATAACATCTTCTCTAAGTAAAGTGATGAAGAGTGGTCTGCCAGGCAATCTCCAATAGCTGTTTATAAATCCCATTGTATGCTTGATTTCATCAAGTAAAATTTGAGTATCGAATGCAATGTAGAAATCGCTAATATCAAACAACAAAGGGTAACAAACAACAGTACTGCCAAGAATCCTATTAAACAAAAAGATTCACAAAAATAATGAAGCAATATGATCAAACTTGAATTAAATTTAATTAATGAGATTCCTTTCACACCTATATACTTTTGAAGTACCTAAGGCTCCGATCGGACGCTTTGGTCGTCCAGATAAACCAAGATTTGGTAATACTCCTAGGTGTTCGTACACTTTGACTAATTCTTGTGAAGGCCAGATTTGAACAGGTTCGACTTGATTTGATGTTTGCGTTATTATTCCATATGTAGAAAGTTCAGTTTGCAACTTCGTACTTTCGGCAATTAAGACAACCTAAAATAGTTAGTGACTGTTATTAAAGAACAAAAAAATCAGGTGTCTGTTAAAACACTTCTTCCAATTTATTTCAATATTACTTGAGATAAATTTTTATTAAGTTATTTGCTTCAAACTTACTATAACAATACAATGATTTGATATATTAACAATTTTTCAGTATTTCTTTTCAAAAAATTCGGTTAGCCCAATGGTATTAATAAACTCTTGGTATATTTGATTGATTGATTTTCTAGAACAAAGAGTGGGTTCTGGGACCCTGGGGTATGTTCGATGGAAGCAAAGACACAAGAATCATACCTTGTTTTTTTAATTAAACATAATCATATGTAACATCTATGACCTGTATTGTCGTTTCACAAGCAACTCCTTGAAACATTGAATATCTCATGTTTACCCCTCTTTGTTCTTTCAAAGGAATAAAACGCTTGACCGGATCAATTTCTTGCCTCGATATCAACCCATCCACTAAAAGTCTATAAAAAATTGATAATTAATGCGTTTTTAAGTGATTACTACACGAATATGTGGAACAGTAAACAGTATGTTGTTGGTGTGTGAAAGACTACAATTCCAGTAACATCATTATATACCTAAGTCTCTGCACCGCACAAACATTCTCTATGTGCAGCACACTGGAAAACTCAACAAATTACACAACACACCATAAAAAATAAATATAGACAACAATTAGGTCATATTTCTGATACATCACAGCATTTACCACATTTTTGGTTATTTTTTAACTACTGAAAATGTTTCAAAAAGTTACAGGAAAATAAGCAGCTACATCGCCATATAGCTAATAATGTCATTTTTGATATTAATAATTTTGAACAGCACACATCTCCGTCATATCACAAATAGTGTGTAATAGTCGATAATATATGAGTTGATTTTTGGGTTTTGGCGATTAGTTTATTCAACTAAGTGTAATCATTATGGAACAAACATGAAATCCAATTCCAGCTTACATAGCTTACCCTGTAATTTTGCCTTATATTGAAAACAAAAAGACTGTTGAGATCAACATTCAAAATCGCAGATGGCAGTACAAATTCAGAATGTATGATAGAGTATTATGCAGCTGATTGATCAGTAACGTGAATATAACACAAACACAAAAATTCACTCACTGTGAAATTGTATACAGTGCTTGTCCCCATAGAAACACATGTGTTTCCTTTGTCAAATCGAAACTGCATTTACGATCACATGATCCTGGTTTGTTCCTTTCTTTTTGAATATCATCTTTTTGAACATAATAAAAACGTGGAACAAGCAAGTGACCATCATCATTTTCCCATAAAGTAGTTTTCAGCTTCTCTTGGTATTCTCTGACCTGATTTGAAATATGTACAAGCGTAGCAAAATTATAGTATGTTATGATTAAGCCATTACCTTACACAATTAACTACATAACCAGCATATTAAATAATTATGCAGACTAGTTTTAAATAAAAATTGAGTTACCTGTTCAGAATCATTGTGGAATACTCCATCAATTATTGAATAAATGAAAAACAACGGCCATTCACATTCAATTCCATTGAAAAGTTTGATTTCAGCAGGTCTATAATATTTTCTATTTTGATCTTCAACTTCTGTCATGTAACCATCACCCTGATGAACAGAAAATATTGAATTTCTGTAAAATTTTCTAAAAAAAAATCAAACTGAAGTACTGTAATACATGCCTAATTATTATGACTGCAATAAGATAATCCAAAAAATTCATCAAATTATTCAGTTGATCACAGACCAGTGACCGCTGGTCTAAACTGAATACAGCGATAAATTAATACAAAGCTCTTGTTTTAAGTATAAAGAGGATTCTGTTTCATATTAAAATTATATCTTACCACAAACCTTTTATAACCGTATCTTCCTTCCAAACGATTTTTGACTTTCGTTTTTGTAAGTTTGCATAAATCATCATCATCAAGAGCAAAAAATGGAAACGAAGTTGTAGGTAATATTGCAGAATCTATTAAATTAGAATAAATAAAATAGGTACATGATTTCAGCAACGATAAAAGTACACTTAGAATATAATTGTAAGTAGAAAAAAATGAGAAATAAAAAAACATTATCTTTTAGTTAAGGTGACATGAAGAAACATAACGGATGCTTATTCCTATGATCAAACATATCAACAACACACAACAGTTATTATTAGTTTGGATTGAGTTGATTTTACCACTGTTTTTTGAAATAGATTCCTTTGGCAGCAAAGAGTCAACAACAGTTCGATTTCTATTGTGGGCATCCATATCCACCCAGATAACGGACCATGGTGCTCCATGTTGCTTCCCAAATAAATTAAAACCATTCACAGATTCCAAAGCTGCTTTTGCAGCACCAACAGCACTAGCATGAAGTTCAGGGTTTCCGTTGTTGTATTTGCTACCACGACCCCACATACCAAAGTCAGGAACTCTGTAATTGGATAAGTGAGTTTATTAAAAATGAAAAGACCAAAATAAGAAATATAATTGGAGACTTATTAAATAATTGCTCTACTTTTCTAACAATGCAGAAATATCATTTGAATTTGTATTGATGACACGCTTAAATCCAGACCAATCTTCAAGGTAAATATGATTCTAACTAGTAAACTTATTGAAAGGTGAAAGAGAATTCTAAGATTGATCAGCTTCGTTCATCGAGTTTTATATGAATATAGCAATTTAGAATTTATATTTATTTTGATTCAGTGAATATTAGTTTTCCTATGCAAAACAAAGTCTTCATTGAATGAATTAATTTTTTTCAAAATATTTCAGCTCGGGCAAGCTCTACTACATTTGAATCACCTGTAAGATCTTTCCAAATAATATACAAGATTCTGGACAAACGCAACTTCATCGGTGTTGAATACAATTTGAAGACCTGAGGCCGTCATTTGCACGAGATATAAAATAAATAAAGCAACAACATCTTGTTGTAAATGAGGATATTCTCCTTGAGTAGCATCCCCTGTCCATGCATCAAATTTGCAATGAATTGCATTTGCGTTCGTCTGTTCAGTCTTAAACTTTTCAACCTACAAAAATATATTCAGGTTTTTATGAAGATAATAAAATACATCCTTCAGGTTCGGAATACGGATAAAATAAAATGTAAGGTGTGAAGTGTAACAAGGTGAGCTACTCAAAAATAAAATGTCTCTGGTCATTCCATCCTCATACTAGATAGTAGTATATGTCTGCTCAAGAGCTTAATTTTAGTGTGTCTGGAGTGGTGGAATATTCTAACATCCCAATAGAATATTTCACCATGAATTAAGAAATTGTACCTTAAATGATTGTCTCATATAACAAGTTAATATCCCTCTCATACATTTAACAGTACAATGTTCAAGTTCGTAGCACCTTCCTTCATCATCATCAATCCTGCAAACAAAAGATGGATAAACCTTTAATAAAAGGTATAACTATAAAACGAGAATATCGGTCAGAGACCGAAGACTTATCGATCGAAAGTTAGAGGATCCCCCAAAACAGCGCTCTTACTCCATAGTGACACCTTGTGTCACATCACTAATTAATTATTAACTCGCTAATTATACGATATAATTCATCCAAAATCAATAGGCTTCTGATACGACATATAATAAATGCACATGCAAAATCTTGAACAGATTCAATCTCGCTTTCGTGAGATATCGCGTGCATCTAACAGACAAACAGACAAATACCTATCAACATACTTACCAATTAAAATCGATAAGTAATTATCCAGTATGAATTCCATATCACAGGGCAGGTATTAAATATTTTGAATATAACACATACGAAATAATTCATGCTTTGTCTCATAATCTAAAGATACTAAAAACGTCTGCATAAAATATTACTGCCATTGTATTACAGGATACTTAGGTTAAAATTGATTGCAATACAGTTAAAAAAGTGAATTTGACAGTCATCATTTATAAATAAAAATTTCCAAAGATTTATTCACAACAAATAACAGTATTTCAAACATAACATTTTCAGTACCTAAAACTGCTTCTCTTCTTACAATATCAAAAACATTTGATGCAACTAAGTTAAAAAAAATAAATAAAATAGATAAGATCAACCCTATTATGCGGTGAAATAACTAATCCAACACTAATCTAATCTGAGATAGTACTGAAGAGATTACAGTATGGTACTATTCGAAATTTACTAATGGATATTATTCTAAAAACATTATTTCAAATTATAGCACTATTTTAATATACATACATAATATTAATTATTTATGCCAAATCTTACCTTCTGTATGCAAGTCCGAGAGACCATATGGCGACAGCACAGTACACACTATCACGAACAAACGCATCTTTCCCACAGGAAAATAGGCCTGTTGTAGGACTCTGGTAAGGTAGCAGAAGACTGAATAGATGCAAATTTTTCTTATAATGATTTATCAATAATTATAGTCAGAGATCACAAATAATTATTACAAAACATTCAGTTGCAAAAATCATATTTATCGATATTCTCATCGGTGAGAAATGATTAGGATGAATAAAAATTTTGTATTACTTAAACCAGGGTGGTCCAAGGTTGTCGGCTCCGCGGGCCACAAAATTATTTTTGCATTGTTCGCGGGCCACAAGAGTGCCAGGAATAGGTAAACAGTGCAATACAAAACAAACACTTTTATTGTAAAATCACATAGTTATCAGGCATAGCCATTCTAGGCTAATAGAATCCGTATTTGATTTCAACTTCGCTAGTTTCCCCAGCTAGCCATAACACTATTTAATTCAGTGACATTAGTGATGACAATATGTCAAAAGATTTTTCTGATTAATTTTATGACGAAACAACACAAAATTCGATTTTTTGATTACTCCGAATGTGACGCGGGCCACAGATAATGAAGCGGCGGGCCACATGTGGCCCGCGGGCCTGGGTTTGGACCACCCTGACTTAGACCATCCTGAATATAAAAAATTTATATAAGGAAACTTCATCCTGATCACCAGATGAATGAATCTTAAATCTCAGGGCATATTAAAAGATAGCTTAAATATAAATATTGATAATTTGCATCAAGTGTGGCTTGATTTTCAGATTAGTTTTTCTCTTAGAAGTGGTTGTTAGTAACATTGTAAATTTTCCTATTGGTGACATAAATGGGAAATCAATGTTCAGTGAATAATTTTTTTATCAATATTTTATGGAAGCTGAACCTGAAAGACAGTTAATAATTTACCTCTTGATTGTTATGTAATGTTCTTCCAATTGCAGTTTGGCCGCATTATATGCATGCTTTGTTTCTCCTTCCATTGGAAAGAAGATGATACAATATCATTGATATAAATGGCTACATACAGTGAACTAAAAAGGAAACTTTCCAAAAATAAGTATCACAATTCAGTTGTTTCACCTCAATTATAAAAATAGTTTTATGAAATAAAACAACAGTGCCAGTGCTTTGATCTATTGTAGTTTGATGCTAAAAACAGCTGAGTTATAAATAACAGATTCATAAAAACATTTACATATTTAGAAATGCTGTTACTTGTGATGTCGCAAATATTCAATATAGAGTGGCTTGTACTGAATCCTTCTCACTCAAAATGCCACCTATGATGGAATGTATTTTCAATCTTAAAAAGATTCATTTATTAAATTTAATATGAATAAGCTCAGAAATATTTCTTCTCCAAAAATACACGCTAAACTGCTTTGAATATCTAGCTATGGAAGGAGAAAGTACATATGGAATTGAAAAGTGAATTATGATTGAAGCTATTCCTATCACGATTATGTTGGCAGACCTGACTTCTCAATTGCCTATATAATACCAAAAGTCTCCAATTTTGTAAATAACCCACAATAAAAACTTTTAATCAGTTATTAATTACACAATGAACAATAAATTTAATGCTATTTTTTACTAAAAACCAAAGCAACATTTTCAAGCGAAACAGATTTTTCAGTATACTCGATCAAAACACAATCATATCCATTTTGTATCATATAACTAACTCGGCCTCTGTCAATCACATTTTTGCAAATCAAACCTACTTTTGTCTTCTCCTCATTTGATAGAAAATCTAGCTTATTTACATTATTCGGAACTGGATTCGTTGATGTGCTTGGTTTGAAATGACAAACTGCCCAACTAGACATCAGTGAAATGATTGAAAAATCTCTGGCACTTAATCCAAGATGTTTAAAATATTCTTTTCCGCAGTATTGGTCCCAAATAACACGATGGTGACAGCAAAGAGCAATAACACCACCATGAAACTTGGACTTTGGAGAAGTTCGCACAATGCATTTTAATGCAAAATCGGTTGCCACACCACATAAATGCTTGCTTATTGCCACCAATGGATGTGAAGGAAGATCCTCAATGTTGGATATACAAAGATCTTTAATGTCGGACCGGATTCTTTTAATCATCATTTTATCACCGCTCTGGCGATGCTTTGCATCTAATTTTCTACGATTTGTACCTCGGTCAACAAGAACAAACAAACACAAACTTTGTTTTTCGATCGGAATTGTTTTAATGACAGATATAGAAAACTGCCCCCTTCCTGCACCAAATTCAATGTAACAACCTGGGGAAACAAGTAGTCCTTGTCTTTCCATTAATCCAAGCAAATTTGCATTTTGTCTTATCTGCCTCAAAGCTGAGACAGAGTTTTCCATGTCCTTGATATCAACAGCAAAAGCATTATGAATTGGATGTTCATTCTCATGCAGGATAGGATCATCAAGTTCAAGCTTCTTTAGTTTATCAATAAGACTTTTACATTCAGATATGGATACATCCCTCAAATATTCAACAATGCCATCTTTATTTTCAGATGGATCACAGTTAATATCAGGAACATACCATGCATCAGTAGGAATCAACTTTTTGGCATTACATTTTCGCATGTGCTTGGAGAGATTTTTTTTGTCGCACGTGTGACTAGGATCGAGAGGACATCTAATTCTGTTTCCACCATCGTCCGTTTCATTGCTGATTTCCGTATTTATAATATGTTGAACACAAAATTCTTTGCCTTTTACTCTCTCCAATCTGCAATTCCTCTTTTTATTTGTCAAATAGTGTTTGCAAGACAAATTAGATTCGCATTGATTAATATTTGTGAGCATGTTATTTCTATATTATTAAGTATATCTAATAAAGTAAAATAATGCATTATGAGCACAATTGACCATATCAGTTTTATGGGGCTACTTGTTCATAAGAAATTTACCTAGAGGCATAAAAGTCTAGTGCAATTAGGGAAAATAATCCCTGTACAGTGATAACACAAATTAAGACAACAGAATCTGAAATCAAGGCAAGCAAACTTCCATATTGGGTAGAGATCTCTATTCTAACTGTAGATACATACCGGTACATACAATAACAAAAATATATTTCAAATGATTTACACTTTAAACATTAATAAACCCCTGCAATGATCTTGTGTGGTAGTATTGTATCAATCGATAAAACTATTCAATAGATAATATTCTCTACTAATGAATTTATCCTAACCATGTTATAAAGTTCTTCAAAAAGAAAGTTGTTGTATGACAGGAATTAGGAATACACTCATCATAACATGGAAGAATATACTGCGTAGATTTGCAGATTTCAGTCTGCAGGGAATAATTATGAGCAAGAAGATTGCTGGATTTTCTCTCCTATTCTGTTCAATTAAGATTATAATTGTATATACCGCATCTATACTATGGATAGAATACTAGGATCATAATATTATCAATCCTAATAGCAGATAACAGAATGTATAATATGACATTGCTAAAATAAAAATAGGTAATACTACCAAGCTAAATAAAGAAGGATACAAAGCTTATTCTGGTATGTGGGCCCCCAATTATATTTTATTAATAGTTCACATGTATATTGGGAAATAGAGATGAAATGAATCTGTTAGCACAACTTTGCATGTTGTTACAATATTGAATCTAACCAATCTTCCAAATCATCAACATTGTTCGACTTTTCTTCTCCTGTAAAATTAGAAAAACGCAGCATATTTAGATTTATAGTGGAAGATCAAGCAGTCGACCAATATACTGGGACATGATTGAGCACTTATGTGGCTACGAAGACTCGTCTAGACTCTAGAAGTCTAGAGGGTGGGATATACTACCCCATAAAAAGGGAGTTTTTTTTAACTCTTTGAGAAAATATGATATTGCTCGAATGCTCGGGATCTACTTAGAGATTACAAGGAAATAATATGTGTCATTCAATTTTAGCAAAATTGCTTATGGATTCATTTTGGCCACGATGAAAAAAAGGTTGTGAGCACCTCACCTTTTGGTTCAGATGGCTGCAACTCTGCACTTTCTGATGGCACTTGGTCTATTGCAGCAATTGATGCTGTCTTCGACAAACTATTGTCACAAGTTTGTTGTTGAAATGTCGATATTTTTTCTGCTTGTAATGATTTTTGAGTACTTTGAATTAATTCATCAATAGTGTGAAAGTCCTCTTCAGAGTGTGAACTACATTCGGGAATGCAAGAATGTTCATTGTTTTTCAATAATGTATTTTCATCATTCGAATTACACAATATTGGATTTTTATTAGTTTCTTCTCTACCATCCTCCTTCAGAGAGGGTTCAATACAACCTGTAGGATTTGTTGGACCTTGATTAATATTCTTCTTTGAAAAATTAAATCCCATTTCTTGAGTCTCTGTGCTTGATAAAATTGCTCTATTTTGTAAACAATATTCTTTCGATGTCAGATCAGATTCATCCATACTTGAGAGAAATTGCATGAGAGTAGCCTGAAATTTCACAAAGAGTTTTGTAGTGAAAAAAGAAATCAGGATGGTTCTTAGAATTTTCAATTACCGTACATCTCGCGAATCCATTTAACTAAATAGGCATTATTTCTGTTCTTCAAAATTACTATTGGCAACATATCTTTTTGTTGCATGTATTTTCAAATATGCTGATTATCAAACTTACATCTAAATGTAGTTCATTTATCTTGTACTTCTCTGAAAATGGAATATCTCTCAAAACTTGAGCAATATTTGTGTGATCTGTTGACAGGATGTGTGAATCCTGAAAAAATCATGATAACCACATGAAGGCTATATAGAACTCTAGACAAACATGAATAGATGGGACAAAAATAGAATTTGGTTAAGGAAAATCATTACGAAGTGTTTCCAAAGCCTTGTTTTGTGCAAAATATCCACATGCAGTATAATTTCTATTATGGTCAACACGCCTTGGAGTTGAAAAAATGAGATTAAACCCAGAATTTCATTTTGATTAATGGGAATGCTTTATATGTTGCATAGGAACACTTTAACACTACCATATTGCGTATATATCTACCATCAGGTCCCATAGAAGTCAAAAAGAAATTCGATAAAAAAATAAAATAAGAGCATTGAGCTTCTAGTAATAAATTTCATCTTAGTAAAAATTTGAAATCAATCAAGGGAAAATATATATTTTTTCCAACAACAACCATTCAGGAGAATGATCGATGTGCATAGGCATTCGGGCCCAATATATAATAAAGAGCGTAATTCGCGACTTGGAACAAAATATTCTGCAATATGTGATAATATAATATTATCTAATCTTTAAGTACTAAAAATTCAATATCAATATAATATTGGTCCATTAGTTGTGGAGAAAGGTGCTGTTTGCTTTTATCCAATGCGAACAAGGAAAATAAGGCAAAATATGTTTACGTATATACAGAGCAAATCGACAACCTGTACTGAATCCCATTCCTCTTCATGCTTCAACTTCATTCGAGGGGATGTATCACCTAGATTGCATCAAATTAAACAAAATTTTGTCTGCCTTGTGAAAAATTTCAAGGTACCAAGGTTCAAACACAAGGTTCAAGACACATACAACCTGGGTAATGCTGATTAAAGACATATTAAAATATAGGAAGGATGAATACAATATTTGATTGTATTTCAATATTCTAATTCCTTGATTACAGAAAAATTTAGATTGGGTTGAATTGTAAAATTATCATTTTGACCAATTGGAAGTTTCCCAGTATGGCTAAAAATGCCATTATTTAATTTTTAAGAACTTGTATTAAAAACAAACAACCATTAAGATCACAGTTTAGTGTTCACATTATTAATTTTATTTTTTCAATTATCAATTAGGAATATATTATTCGCTTTTGGCTCTCTCTAGCACTTTATATTCATGCAATTCTGCTACAAGCTCTTGGTATAACTGGCTATGTTTATAATTTTACCGGCAAAGCTTAGAAGAACATTAAAATCGGTTCCTTGATCGTTTTCATCACATTCCGCAGATTCATATTTCGCCCAATTGCTTGTGATTGGTCTCTTGCTGAATCCAGATTCAGAAATCTGAAATAAACAATAAAAATGGCATGACTTATTGATGAAAAATTGTCCTATACAGTTAGCGCTCCTTGGAAAGTTGACCAAATAGTAAGACTCCAAGTTCCAACCCCCTCAACCCCGATGATGACCAATTGCAAACAATTACAATAATATGCATTAACAAGTTGTGATCACAGGCTAAAATACTCACTATAACGTTGGAAATATAACTCAATCCACACCAAAAACAAACTGTCCCTGATCCAAAATAATCTGTCAAAACAAAATGTCCATCAATATCAGAGACTTACCGGTACCTCATTGTCACCAAAAGCTGGTAATTTTGCCTGAGTTTCAGTGATATTAGAACGTTCATTATCTAAATTGAAATAGAAAGAAGTTTGAAAATTTAGGAAAAAAACACTTTAAAACAATCGAAAACAGATATAAAAAAATAATAAAAACAATATGTAGGGTTCAATACAGTGAAACAGTCAATAAGCTTTACTTGAATTGTAATAAATGATATGTGAAAACCTTTGTCATCAGACACTGATGATTGTCCTTGTTGTATCCCATGTTTTTTCTTATATCGAGCATTTTTAGTCTTCTTGTGCTCATCTGGTCTCATGTTCAATATTTCAATAATATAGAAAATATGAACCCAAACACAACAAAGTCTGAATTAAAAAATGAAAAATATATATTCTTAGCTCAGCATTGATGAAAAATTGTTTGCATAAAATATAAATCACACGTTGGGGTTAATTGTGAATTCGAAATTGTTGAATGCGCACAACATACACTGAACAACAATATGTAATGAAGCTATATCAATATTACAAACGAAGCCGGTTTCTGCTATGTTCACAGTATTCCAATTATATGATAGAAATGGTCGAAAAGTCATCATGAAGTTAAATGGACTTCAGATAAGTGCTATCAGTTTGATATGTAGGTGGTCATAGGAGCTGTATCTTCAATAAAGGCAGCTGTGCAATACAGTTCTTTTATAATATCTCATACTGTGCTACCGATTCACAAAAATACTTCCAAACATAATACGGTATATTTGACTTCAGTATTTTAATTAGTGAATGTTTTTTAAAATGGTTCTTTTATGAGCAATGTCCTTTTTTTTACATACATTTGCCAAGTAAATTCCCAATTCCTCAACTGAGTAGAAAGATTACTCCTAATAGGTTTGCAACCACCCACTAACAGCTACATAAAGCTCTAGAGAAATTTAGCTCAAAACACATAGTTTTTCAGACCATATAAGGACGCAATATATCACTGCTAGTGACAATTGAAATCATGCCCACATCACCTCTTTAGCATCACTCCTCAATTGGTCAAGTTCTAGTTCTATTTGAAAAAATATTTGTATGTCACTTTCCTAATATTACCAGCAAAGCCACACCATTAAAAATAGACAATTGCATCGCAAGTAATATTTAATCGACAAATAAAATCTGGCAGGGGATAGCAAAATTCCGAGTTTTAAACAGTTAAAGGAAAGTTACAGGTGCTAAAAATGTATGAACGAACAACTGCGCAACAATGTCTATATTACAGCCCAATCAAAATTTGAAATACAATTAACATGACATACTCTTTGCAGAGGCATAGCATGGTGGAACAAAACACTTTACTCCTATAATATTGTTTCAACAAAAGCCTGATTTCAATCCTATGCCCTAGATTAGTGGTTCCCAACCTTTTTTTCAGGTGACCCAATGTTTTTAAAAAGTGTTTTTAAATTTTGTTATTACCGGTAAGTCTCGCGATCCCTAAGGATATGCTCAAATACTAAACACCATGTAGTGCTTTTATGGCCGTAAAATTAAATTATAAATATAAAACTATCATTTTACAGTTATTTTCCCAGAAATCACTTCAAAATGAGAAAGCTTGTTTTCCATCAGCAAGTTTTTGAAATTGTGGCGTTGCTATAAGAAAAATAGACGCTGCCAAGTTTTTAGCAGTGATACTTCCCATATGTATAACTATTGAGCAAAACTTCAATAATAAACAGTGAAATATAAAATTAGTAACTTTTCAAGTTTTTGTTGAAAAAACAAGCGACCCAAAATGATTTTCAGACGACTTTTTCTACTTTTGGGTCGCGACCCATAGGTTGGGAAACACTGCCCTAGATCATAGGTTCTCCAATTGCTCCAGACGAAGCCACAGGGCTCCATGATATTTTTAATACAAAGCAGAAAACATATCCGAGTCATTGAATAAGGTAATTTTAATTTACTCAGAATCAGGAACATTAATCTGTAAATACCAATGTGTTTTTTTGTTTCTATTTTTATAAATTCATTGTGGGGCTCAGTAAATAATAGTCAACATCTTCACGGGCTCCCTGACGCAAAAAGTTTGAGAACCCCTAGCCTAGACCAATACATTCCCATATCAAATAATAAATGAATGAAAAAAGAATCAAGATGTAATACCAATAAACATCTGGAAAACAGAGATTGAATTCCTGAAAATATTGTTCTTAATCGCCAGGACCTTTTCATGCCTTGGCACAACACGACCGCCGACAGTCATGTTTTGTGAGATATTGACAAAATGCCATTTAAATATGTTGTTTGATTCACCATCATTTATCAAAGTTATTTGCCCAGAAAACCCCATAAGACGATTCACATTAAAAATGTTTTTCTTACACAGAAGCTTCATCTTCTACTCATTTTTCCTAATCTGATATCTCGTTCTTTTTCAAATTGTCGAAAATCTGTTCTTTCAAGAAACAATTGTTTCTCGACATAACCATCTTTCCCTTTATTATAAATTTTCAATTCATCTTCGATACCTTCTTCATCTTTATAATTTTGCCAGTCTAATTTAGACTTTTCAAGAGTACTGAGTTTTGGTCTTTTCTCCATTTTACCTAAAATACCTTGTAATCCACCCTTGCGCTTGGTTGTTAAAGGCAAGCTAGTTGATGCTCCCATAGTTCTTGTTTTCAAGTGACTCTGTCCTTCTTTTGATTTTTTATCAACCACCTTTGTTATTTTCACATCTTCCCCAGCAAAATCATAAACTTTTGTTACAGTTATTGTTTCTTTCGTTTTATCATTTCCAATAAGTGAAGTTGTGCCATTCGTTGACTTTTGCTCAGAAACTTCAGATGATTGAACATTATCAATCGACTGAGTGCTTTTAACTGAATTAGAATCTTTACCCTGGTGTACTGGTGCTATTTTAGATACATCAGCTTTGAAAGTATTCCAAATTTTATCCACCTCATCTTTGGAAACCGCATGATCAGAATCATCATGAGAGTCTACTTTTACATGATGGTCATCATCATCATCATCTGCATCAAGTTTATCAGGAATATAATCTTCATCATCTACATCAGAAGATGAGTCTTTATCATCATAGTCAGACATTTCTATCAACAAACCAAAATTACTGTATTACAGTAACAAAAAAACCTAAAATATATAAATAGGTCCTTAGAAACTGGAAAATTATATTCATTATAATGCTGTATCCAGTACTGACAGATTGAGCAGTCACGCCGATCGTATCAGCAGAGGACTAGAGGAGAAAAGACTGTCAGACTGTGTACTACAGCCAGAGTGCTGTAAGATATCTCAATAATACAGTAATAACAGTTCACCCTCCAATTTCATTAATTTACAAAATCAGAAATCGAAAAGACGAAGCCATTCAAACTTCTGAAAATTGATAATTCTTGAATTTAAATGGCAGAATCAGTGTAACGCTGGGTAGTTCTAAAATGGGTATGCAAGGTTGCCGGATCCCAGCAATCAAAAAAGCCAAATTAAGACATAAAAGAGCCAGAAAAAGCCAACAATTTTACTAAGCACAGAAGTACAAAAGCCCTATGATTTGTCAGATTTAAGCCTTTGGCACAATACTGATGCTGATGTAGAGCCATCAGTTCATTTAGTGAGCCACACAACTGTCTTTTCCCATTGAAAGTTGTATTTTCGGTTGCTATCAATGGCGGGATGAAGGGTTAAAAAGTAAAAAGGATTAATTGAATGACAGCACCAGAATCTACATTCCACACAATACTGCAATACAGTCAAGCTGACATCTATATAAAACAGTTTAAAAAAATTAAAAAAATAAAAAAAAAATAAAGTGGATAGCATTATTTTACCATTCAATATATACAATACCTAAATACAGGGGGCCGCTTCAGTATGCAGGTACCGTATGTGATATATATACCTGCATGTTTCTACCTAAACTTGTGATATACCGGTAGTCTACCTCAAAAAATTCTCCCTATAATGTAGGTACTTTACTACTGTACCTATCTGATTCTGACTATTAAAAATTTTAAACCATCAATTTTACTAAAAAATTATCTAACCACGTGCCACTTACAAGCAGTACCGGTACAGGTGGACTACTGGTAAGTAATTTCAGGAATTCAGTAATTTTAGCGTAGTTAATCACATTGTTCGTACTAAATTTTGATTAGCCTATTGCAAGAAAACTAAAGCTCCACATCAGGCAATGTGAAAATTAACTTATATGCCTACAACTACCGTATTTTTTGGAAACAGAACTAAAAACTGACGAATTACACGCAAAACTATATCAACGAGGCAATGTTTACAAACCTGCTTAAACATCTGTCTGAGCGGCTGCAGAAACTGCAATTATTTCTCATTGGGTACCGTATGGTTAAGCGTTGAGGTAATAAACAAGGAAATCGATGCTCGGGGAAATCCAAATGTTAAGTAGCTAAGTAATAGGTTATTGTTACACATTAAATATTGTATTTCATATGATTTTAATATTAGACATAGACACTACACAGGGGTTCCCAAACCAGGGGTCGCGACCCCAAATTGGAGGCGCAGTTCTTACCACTTCACGGCAGCTCCTGCCACGAACGAACCGCGCCAGCTCTTGGCTTCTCAGTATTCAGTAATCAGTATTAACGGCATATTCACAAATTAATGTACCAGATTTTAATTGATCATGTGGAACTATATCTACTTAAACCCCAACCCCAAATTTAGCAGCTTGTACCATGGCTTATTGTAAAACAGGCCCATAGGCATCGCTCTATGCGTATGCTATAGAAAATGTAGGTGCTTATTGCGACATCACTGTTTGGTTTTAGCTTATTTTACTTAATATCACGACATGACCAAACTCAAAAGTCCAGTGACGAATAAATGATGATTGATTGATTGATTGAAGCTCCAAAGTTTCATGAAAAATATATGTATTGACCTGGGGTCGCACTGGACACTTGAAAGTTGTCTTTGGGGTCGCCCTAAAAAAAGCTTGGGGACCCCTGCACTAGAATAAATTTAAAAAAGCCAAACGGAAATTTTGACGCCAGGCGTGTTTGAAAAAAAGCGTTAAAAAAGCCAACATGGCAACTAGGGTAGAACTTGGATTATCCAGATAACCGGTTAACCGTGAGTTATTTTCTTATCAGATATCCGGATATTATTGTGACGGTTAACCGGATAATAGAGCAGTATATATAATGCATATGCGCATTAGTGATTTTTATATTTTTTTGTTGAGTGGCGACTGATATCTCATATATAAGCATATATCAACAACTTTTATTCATCTCCCTATATGTACATTGCTACTTTTGTTAGTTACATTGTTACATAATTTTGTTTGCTACGTTGCTGTATGTTGTTTATTTTGTAGTAGTGCAGTTACTGGTACAGTTGCATGTGCATTCATCTTATCTCGGACCAGAAGCCTATTGATTTTGGGCGAATTATGTCGTATAATTAGCGAGTTATTAAATAATTAGTGATGGGACACAAGGTGTCACTGTGGAGTAAGAGCGCTGTTTTGGGGGATCCCCTAACTTTCGATCGATAAGTCTTCGGTCTATGACCGATATTCTCGTATTCGAATTTTGGTTGATCTTTTAAAGTGTTGAAAACTTGAGACAGCTGCGCTTGATTTTTTTTTGTTACGTCGCGTAGTTCAAAATAAATATGTAAAATATACTTATATAATGAATACTCGCGACGATTTGTGAAGCAGTCGCTGCGATCATGACACTCGCTGATAATACCTCCTACGTTGTTTTCAGCTGATAATAATTTTTCTATTGCGCAAAATATTCAATTTGTGGCCGATTCGAGCATTTTAAAATGTCTTTCAATAATAACTGTGTTCTGAAATTTAGGTGCTCCAGAAGTATGTGTACTAAATGGCGCACAACCTGAACATTGTATGTGTATCAGGCTAGGGTTCATATTTTCTTCTCTTCAGGCACTCAGGTCTTTCAACCAGCATTTTAATGATATATAACTACCGTGTTTCCCCGAAAAAAAAACCTAGCCTAAATTTCAAAATAATATAAGCCAGTCCTTAAAATAATACCTTGTCCTAGTCGATAGAGCGAATTTACTTTTTTGACCTAGTCGATAGCAAGGAATCTCTACTACACGTTTTAAATCAAGGTGGTCCAAACCAGACACATTCCATGCGGCCCGCAGAACAGTGTCAGCGTGCAATAAACCATTGGTAGATATTTGCATTTATTGGCAGAACATTTTCTAATAATTTTTAATTTCGGAATTTCAAAGTTGTATCTATAGACGTAAAGACGGTGCCAATATGAGAATGACGTCCTGTGATAGGTAGAAGGAAAATGAATTGTGTTGTGCGGACAGAACCAAGCCGATGAGATGAGTCGCGCTTTTTATCGAAACTTCGTGCCTTACGCTCGCGTCAAGTAACTCCTCATTCGGAGACCCGTTTAGTTTCTTTTTTTAGTTTAAAACACTCCATTATTTTCAAGCGTTGGCCATGTGGCAGCAATTTGATAACCGCAGAATTGACTTAGCGCCGCGCGATCCATTTTTTTTAGCTGGGCCCGGAGCCCCAACTTAGTCAAAGATAACAATTCATCATACGATGAGTGTAATGAAAAAAGATGATCAAGGTAAATTGGAAGGAAACGTATTAACTTACTCACAACAACATTAAACCACAGTGTCTGGTGTGTTTTCAAATAATATCTGTCACGAAAGACTGTTATTTTAAGCAACATTACAAAACCAAACACGCGAAAAGCAATTTTAAAATACCTAAAGGCTTTATACAGTAGATATCATAGCAAGAAATTTTACCTACTCGTTTTAAAGGATTGAAAATCTATGTTTTAGTGGGTATTTTAATTAAATAAAAACGTGTTATTTATAAGTAAATGAATATCGGTTTTCATATTTTGTATATTTGGAAATCTAAAAATTCTCTAATTGAAAATAAAAGACATCCACCCAAAATAAGCCCTAGAGTTATTTTTTGAGAGAAAATTGAAATAAGACATTGTATTATTTTCAGGGAAACACGGTATGTTTAGTAGTTCTTTCAAATAAAAACGGGTTACAGTATTTACAGGTAAATGGATACCGGTTTTCATATTTTGTATATTGTCCATATATGTAAATCTCGTAATTCTCTACTTTGTAATTTTGTTTTTGATAAATGAAAATAAAAGATGTCCCCCGAAAATAGGCCCTAGTGCTATTAAAGACACTGCCTATTTTAATTATCTATTGAAACTTGGGGGGCAGCCGGATTTCATGCCAGGACAGCAGGGTGTTTGTCCCATTGTTTGTATAATAGTAAACATTAGTCCAGGCCTATTTTACGTTGCCCAAAAAACAACTACCACAGTAGTTCGAGACAGGACGACTTCCAACAACCGGCTTTTAGCGGCCATGGCGAGTTACTCATCACGTCACCTGAAAGAAACTGAAGCCGTCTTTCGAAACAGTCAACGAAATACAATCTATCTGTATCTCATCAGTGCAGTGGTTCCCAGCCTTTTTCGTATCGCGGCACACTATTGAGCTCTTTAAATATTCGCGTCACACCTATCACAAAACATGAACATTTTCTACTCATAAAGCCTTTCTGCTATAAACTAATTTAAAGAAAAGAAGATCAGATAAGGGGAATTTTATTCATATGAAGGCAACATACCCCGCATTTAGTAACAGGTATATAATATTAATAGTGAATTTCAGCCATACTGAGCTTGATTCTACAAATCACCTGAAAAGGCAGGGTTCAGACGGATGGCGGATACCTGGTTAGGCGATAATTTCATCTGTATTTAAACACATGTCGTTTCCGTCCTAAAAAAATACCATCATCAGGTATTCTCACTTTTGCACAACCTAATTTTTTTCAAATTTAATATCTTCCTCCCGTTGCCAAAATTTGTCGGATAGAATATTTTTATTGAATCAAATAATTTTAACGAATCGTCAAATATCGGGAATTATTAATTTGTATACCACAGGCATCCAGAACGCTAGACATTCTATTGTTGGTGAATTCGGGATTTTATTCCGATTTTCATATTTTGCGCCGGCTTTGATCTTTCTCGCCACCGTTTGTAAATTAAGTGTCCAAATTTTTGGGTGAAATTATAATATTTCTGACACCGGAATGAGGATATTCATGGATACGATAGTTGACCTCCTTATGATTTTTTTTCTCCATTGTGCCTGTTTTATTTTCGTATTAAATAGCCAATGAAGAGTGCGTCTGTAAGTTAATGTGCCAATTTTCAACAGTATACAGTAGTATATGGATGTTTCCCCAAGCATCGACTTCCTTGTTTACTTCGTGACATCGGCCAATCAACGGACAATCATCGGACAATCAAGATGCAAAAAGTGACGTAACAATGCATCCGCTGGGTCACTTTTCTCACTCATGGATTTTTTTTTTCAGTGCATAAAACTCGTGGGAACGGACGTGAGTTTGCTTTTGTCCGGAACGTTTGTGAAGGTGGTACCGGGATAGGCAAGTTCACGAAATATGATATAGGGCATATGCCCAGTTATACCAGCAGTTTTCTTTCGTTGTCGTGTATTAATTGAGTAATAATGAATTGATTACTCTGGTGATACAGGTTTCATTGTTCCATGAGCAATGATAATTTTGTTCGGTTTTATATCATACTATTGCGACAATTGTATAATATGACTATATATATATATCGACATCATTAGATCCCCCCCCCCCTGATTAAGTTTTACCAACTTTCATGACCTTTACCTTCATGACCTTTCATGAACCGATACAACTGCACAGGGGTACCGAGTCCAGGGCTGCCACTCTAGATGTTTTATATCTAGATCAACGGCTAACATGGTCTAGATCTAGATGTTTTTTTCAAGATCTAGATGTAAAATTTGGAGCCTAGATGTTAGCTATAAAATCTAGATTTTTTTTCGAGGTTTTGAATATTATTCAATGGGAAATAAATAAAGAGATGTGTATAATACTGTAATAGGTGAATGAATATTACCGTATTTCATTATTTAGAAGTACCGGTACCGGTACCGGTACGGCGGTACCGGTATTGATGTAAGATTGATAAAAGTCATTCATATTGTATTCGTCCACCGGTATGGTACCGGTACCATACAGCCATATGTACTTAAAATATTTGAATAACGAATTCAAACATGATTAAAACATGTGACGTTTTAATTAACGTTAAATAGAAAAGAGACGTTTTCCGGATGATATTGTTGCCAAGGGGTTTTAAAATTATTAAGTTATTCAAGTTTATAAGTGCTATTGAATGTGTCTCTCTTTAAACATCAACCTTTCAAAATGCCAAAGTTTATACACTACCAGCAAAAATTTAGAAAAGATTGACTTAAGGCT